CGAGCCAAGCAAAAGTTCCGGAGCAAAGACCCCGGCTGCCTGCATGGGTGCTGGTGAAGCATCCTGCCAAGGAACAAGCACACCTATATAGTTGCAGCAAAACTCAAGTCAAGTATAACCCGCCTCCAAGTTCCCTTCAGAGGCGGTCAGCTCCTACACGAAGCGACTTCATATAATATGTGTGCAAAAAGACACAACAGGATCCGAACAAAGGAAGCCTCTATCACGATCATGCTCTCTCTGTACTTGGAGGCCTTGTTGTCCCAGAACATCCATCCTGACGGGGATGCATGTTGATGTAAATCCGAAAAGAAGCACTCAAAGTCTCGCCTTTCACGGGAACCGATTCACTGTCGGAATCGTTCCACCACACCGACAGCTGTGGAGGGTCACTCATGATGTCGATGTGGAAGCCCCCTTTGGTCCAGCGAAGCCGGCCCCCACCGGGGACATCGACCTGCCACCGGAACTTCTTCTGTCCTGGCCAGAGTGTTTGGGAACGATCCGGGCGAAGTAAACTTATCTGAGGGGTCCTCTCGTACCGGCAGCAGGTCGTGAAATTCCATGCCGGCGATCTGCACCATCTTGTGCTCGTCGTCCTAGGCAAGACAGATATATATAATACGATCCATTTATGCAAAGTCTCCAAAAACCCCGACCTGAGGCATGCCACACCATCGCATGGCAAAGCAAGCCATGGCTGCACCGGAAAGCCCACAAGGCCCTCAACCCTTCAAAAAGTGCATGCAGTGCATGCCAGCCTGCACATGTGGCCCATGACCTGATATGTGCATTGCATTGTGGCCCACGACCTGATGTTTGCATGCCACACGCATCAAAGGATGTTTGAAGTTTGCATGCGGCATGCATGCATGCATGCACCGACCCACAAAAGAGCCTGAATCGGTCCACGATCGAGTGTTTCAACTGCAAATCAGCAACGACATGAAGAGCTGCACACCATGGAACACAGCATGCAAACAGTTTGGCACCTGAGGCATCGACTCACTGACTCGGTCTGCCTCTCTTTTTCTCTTTCTTTCTCTCTCATACATATATGTTTATGTCTCCATATAATACATTATATATATATGTATATAATCTCTGTCTGTCTCTCTCTCTCTCTCTCTCCTCCATCTCTCTCTCTTTGCTTCTGTTCAATTTTTTATACCCAATCACGCCGGCCATCGAACTGGGCACCACAAAAACTCACTCATCCTCTTCCTCGCCCTCGCCGTCCTCGTCATCATTATCAGCGGCTTCCTGGTTGTCATCGTTCTTCTTACCCTTCTTGGCAACCTTTCTCTTCTTCTTGGGAGTGGACTCGCTGGAGCTGCACTTTTCCCGCAGGAACTTAATGTTGTCCTCCGTGAATTCCACCCAAACTGAAGACGACCCCAACCCCTCCAACAGCATGGTAATGGACTTGCCATGGAATTCCACCTCCATCGACAAAGGGAGCATGACGGCATGCTTGGACTGTGCTCGAACAGGCTTCTCCTTCTTGGGCTTGGGATTTTCCGACTCCTCCTTCAGGGCATCCTGCAGCAGCATGTTGGCACGTTCTTGTCGTAGTTGCACGAGCTCGTCCCATGCTGAGCATGCCAAGGATCCTGCACTGTCCTTCTTCTGCTTTCTCAGATCTAATGCTTTTCCGGAAAGCAATCTGACACTGGTTCGGTCCCACTTCTGCAGGCAAATGAAAGGAACGTCTTGCACGAGCTTCTGAGTCGGGACGAAGGGAGCAGACTTGCCAAGCTGAACCACATACTTCTGTGTGATGCGAATCTCGTCCATGCGATTCTCGTCCATGCTGAGCTCGACAATGGGACGGGTGAAAGGATGCGAGACTTCTAGAAACACTTGAGAGCGAGCTGGGCACAACAGCATGCCTTCACATCTCCTGCATGCACATGCATGCAGAGCTGCCTGCGAGCTGAAAGCCCTGCAAGCGACACGTACAAAGATTGCAAAGCACTGAAGGCACATTTCATGCTGCACACCACTCAAACCTCTGTGCAGGGAAGTCTTCCCTGAGATCGAAATCGCATGGATCCATGTCTGCTGGGCAAAATGCAGACATGTAACGAAAGCCACACCTCAAGGCAGCCGAGCACTTTTTCATGTATACTTCACATCTACATGCATCTTTAAATATACATATGTACATTTAAGTATATACCGATCTACATCTATGATAAACATATAGATTTAGCTTTAGGTGGCTCGGGCATGATGCCGAGATCGGATGCATCTGCTCTGTGCGCCTACTGCTTGGTTCTCAATCTCTTGGGTGCAGCTGGCATCTCAAGATCATCCCGAGTGGCCTTCTTCGGCATGAACTGGGACAAATGATCGCCTGGCGATAGGAGGATGTTGTTTCGGAGTAGTGGCACCCGGATGTTGCTAGTCTTCGTGCCAGACCAGCTCAGCTCCATGTTGGTGGATCCTGCATCTTCCGTCATGTTGACGAGGAAAAACGGGGAGATGCAGCACTTGCCCGACCCCATATCCTCGTCGCCCTTTGGCAGCTGCACACATGACGAGAGCCAGAATTGGCGATCGTCGAGCTTCCATGGGGTCTGCACTTCCACGGCATTCGCTAAAGAGCCTTGGGATTTCAGCCTGTGAATGATCTTCCAGCTCACTGGCACAAGCACCAGTTGGCCTTTGGTGAACTTTTGCTTGACTGTCAAAGCCTTGTGAGGCTTCATTTGCAAGCTGAGCTTGCCGAGCACCCCATCAACATCATGCTTCTGTGCCAATATGTCCAACTCTTTTTGGATGTCTGCGACCATGAGAGCAGCCTGATACTCCAGAGATTGGGAGAAGCCCAGCATGGACAAATCCTCGAGAACCTCTGCTTCCTTCTTTGGGGTGAACAAGATCCACCCACCAGCAAGGAACTGATCGCTGGCAACCTTCATGAAGCCTTTCTTCTGCAGATCCTGCAGTTGAAGTTGGGAGCCCTTGATGTGCTTGATCCGGCACTCCAACTTGTCCGCTTTGCGACGAACAAAGGCATCGACCACGAAGCCTGCATCAGTCAGCAAGTCCTCCGCATTGCGGAGTGACCCATCCGGGTTCAGCTCCCTCATCCTCTCAGCTGCTCCCTGGGCCGATGACTTGCCATCGGCATTTGCTTCAGCAAATGCCGCCCACGGACTCTCCAATCCCAAGAGCAGGCAAGCATCGTGTGCGATGCCTTGGACGGCCCTATAGCTTTTCTCCTGCTCGGCACGAGGAAGCCCAAGGCAGAGCCTCACGACATTCATGTCCACCACTCCCAAGATGTTCACGAAGCTGACATCCCTGAAGACGTCAACACCCTTCTTGACCATGAGCTCCCGAAGTTCGCACAACACTTGGTTCCCCTCCAGAACCTTCTTCTCGCAGTCTCGGGCGAACATCTTCCGAGCTGTGCTTGCGGTGATCCCACCCCCTGACAAAGCCAGCTTCAGCAATGCATGCCGGAAATGAGGGATCTGCTCCTGGCCTTTCTTGAAGTCTTGGGAGAGCACCTCCCAGAACTGCAATCCCAAAGCTCTTGTTTGGCCTGAGCTCCTGACGAAGATCTCGCTTTCTCGTAGAAAGCCGCCGTCCGCCCCCCCGCAGAAGCGGAGGGCGAAACTGTAGAGAGCCGGAAAGCAATCGCCACACGGTGGCTTCGAGCTCAGGGCCACCTTCTTGATGTCCGGGGAGCTTTCACGGCTTGCCAAAGAGAAGATGCGGCGAAGAAGCTGGAGTTCACTCTCACTCTTCTGCAATGTCGCATTCTGTGATGCTTGAACGAGCTGGACAATGCTGGGAAAAGCCTCGCCGACTTCTTTGGAAATGACTCGCCAAGTAAGCCCAAGCTCCACGTGTTCTGCCAGGGCTGCATCTCGAGCCCTGACTTGCTGAAGGCTTAGCATCCCATTCACAGAAAGCTCTGTCGACTCGTGGCGAGCCGAACATGCCACCAGTCTGAGGGCAAAGTTAGTATGAGATGCTGACAGGCTGAGTACTTTGAGGAGTTTGCTGTCCATGGTACCAAGCGAGCCACCGGCACCATCAACCATTCGTTGGTTGTAGATGCGGTGGTCGTCCGAGCCTATCTCGATGCCGATGGCATCCACACGGGCAGGCACAAAGCCCACCTGAGCGATGCTGTCGAGGAGCTGGTGTACGTCGCCCGCATTCAACATCAACCCGTCCCGGTTCTGCGGGTGAACCCCCACTGAAAGTGGGGGTATACGCATCTCTGTCAACAAACCAGAGCGGCGAAGAACGACGAAGAGGTCGGCGACCGACTTCACAAGGAACTCGCCTCCCTCTGTCTTCCGCAGTAGGGCTGCGATTTCCCCGTAAACTTCAGGCGACAGCGCCATTGCACTTTGTTCCACCTAGAAGTACACTGAGTTCTCGAGCAGAGAAACTTCGTCGGTATATACACATGGTCACATGATGGTTTTCTTGCCCTTCTTGCCCTGCAGGCGAACTAAGTATATACTGCCTGCGAGCATGCATGCATCTTATGAAAAAAATATAGTGTTTGCTGGCATGGCTGCCTGTGGAATTAAAGCTTTATTGCCCTGCAGGCGAAAATATACTGCCCGCGAGCATCGATACATATACCAAAAAGAACAGCACCTAAGCACACTTGGCCTGTTTACTTAATTGTGCTAAATGGCACGACCTCAGTTAGCATTAAGTATGCTAACTTGGCTAAGTAAAATATCCATATCTTGTCTATCCTGTCTAATCACTTACAAGCAACAACATCTGATTGTTAAATGACCCCGTCCATTTACTAAACAAGCCATCTGCACTGCTGCAACATAGCCTACTTATAAGTATACTAACAACAACTTAGCCATGATAATAACCATGGTTGCACAAGATACTTAACCATGCTAAGCACTGTAATCATTTATAACCACCCCGCCCTTAGAAGTAGGAACCGCTGGGGAAACGATGGAGAAGCTGAGCCACAAAAAGCCAAAATGCAACCAAGCATCCAGGTTAGCCCACGGTTCTGGCCAAAGTTCAAGAAACGGGCAGTATTGGGTTTTCGCGAGCATGCCTAGCCTCCTAGCTTCTGTGGAAGTAGAAGGTCACTTGTAGTGCAGCCAGAAAGATATACCGACGTCTGCATCACAAAACGCTGTGCGACATGTTGCGACAAGAGGATGGCTTCCGTGGAACACTGCTTCGGAAGTGCCTCAGCAGCTGGCTGGCTTTGAGCCGCTGCTGACTTCTGCTGCAGCATCCTCAAGGACGTTGGTAGTTCGTTTTTAGCCTACGGAGTCCACCAAAGACTCGGGGTCCTATTTAGTTCGGTACAGATCCCACACTTGGCTCCGCGCGGGACTGGAAGCTTGACCAAAGATCAAGGGGCACCCTCACCTCTTCTTTAACTACTGCCACCTGCTATCACTAGCCACTGAGCATGAGGATGCATGAGGACTGCCACTACAACGATGCCTGGTGCCCACCACCACCACCACCACTACGATATACGACGATTCTCTTTGCTCCTCATCATTCCATGCAGAACGATTCACCAAACCAAGGGGTCCAAGGGGCGTGAGCAGGGTGACAAGCGGCCACGGTGTCTGCAGCAAAGCCGGAAGCAGCGCCTCGATGTGGCAGCGGTTTAGACTTCGTGGTGAGCATATTTCACAAGTTTTGTAACTAGCATATTGTAGTATATTACATATTATATACCATAATATTATGTACTAGGAGCAAAACCCTTGTGCCCGCCTTCCCTGCAAGGCAGCCCATGACCGCCTCCTCTGCCGCTGACACCAGCGCAGATCGAGCCAGAGATGGCGAAACCGCAGCCTGCTGCTTGCACTTTTTTTTGACAAGTGGGAGTTTACGAATATTAGGGTCCCCTAGTTTCGGAAAACCCCAAGTGGCAGCCCAACTTAGCACGGTCTTTGTCACATGTTGTTTCTGACTCTGTCAACGAGGATCAGCGACGTGGCAGCAGGTTGGTCTTGGGGCGGGGGAGCGGCGGCGTTCAGCGCCCAACTAGTAGATCGATCCTGAGCTGCCGGCCTTCAGAAGGCATGCCGTGGCACTGGAGAAATCATGCCTCAACTTCGATGTGGCTGCGAAAGTTGACATGCTGTGGCGGGCATGGAACGTGTCTCGTCGCTACCTCCCAGCTCAACCCTCCCGAAACTCACGAGAAGCCTGCTGTGCGGCAGAAAAGCTGCAGGGGCTGGCCGCAGGCCTCGTTTAGGCCATTGACAACCTCAGGCCCGTCCAGCAGGAAATGGCCTCACGATTGAAGACAAATAGTGTGCATGAGTAGAACTTAGTATGATATACTACAATGTCAATACCCTAAGTATGAGAGAATTAGGCACGATCTGTGGTTCTCACAACTCACAACACCGGCGGCCTTCAGAAATCACGAGCGATCGACATGCAATCCCGGCCTTGCTCAGCCATTTGCGTCGCTGCTCGAAACACGGTTTGCTGGCGACCAGCGCGATCTGTGTCAGGTTGGTGCAGCAAACAAGGCTCATCTACCCGTACTTACTATCATGGGACTTTTTTCCCTCCTATCATGGGACTTAGTAACTAGGGTTATCATTAGGGTAACTATACTTATAACCCCAACTACTGTACCCATAACCTTACTTACTAAGTCCCATGATCCTCCAAGTATGATCACAACGATCATGAAGGACTGAAGGATCTGCCTTCGCCCCGGTCTCCGCATGCTGGGAGCTCCTGAACGAAGCGAGTAAAGGTGAACCTGAAGCACCTTTGTCTGTTATATGTGTATATGTGTATGTATGTATGTGTGTATGTATCTATATATATATATATATGATTACATACATACAAATGATTACATGCTTAAGTATCCTAGTAGAATCAGAATGAGAATTATGTGATCATCCCCCAACCTGCCCGTAATGCTCAAAGACTGCGTCCGCAGTGTGAAAAGCGGACAGCGGCGGCGGCGGCGAACGGACGGATGCGGGCGGGGTCCCAAAACAGGACTGCCAAGAACCGATGGCAGTTGGCTCCGGCTTGCCTGGTTGGTGAACAACCCTTCCTGTCCAGTCCACGACCCTGCTTTCCTTGGCAAGCAGTCTCCCAAGGCAGAGGTTATGCCTGCACGTGAACCCATGCCGTGCGCCTACTTCAAGCGAGGCACATTAGCCGCGCATGGCTCTCCTCAGAATGAGCAGTGAGCTTGATCCACGGCATAAGTTTTTCCCAAGACACAAGCTAGCAAAATGCGCATCGGTGCAACAAGGACGGACTCTGCGGCTGCTGCCAGTAGTAGTCGAGCATCGATCAGCGAGAAGAAAGGCCAGTCAGTTTCAAGGACCATTCCTGCGAAACTCAACGGCACGCCTGCACTGCTACTACTACCGCCTGGATAAGCTGTCAGACGAAACGAGAACTGCAAATCATAAGACGGGACTCAATAGAGTTGGCAGCAACTACATCTGAGGCCGGTGTCACAAGATTGCTCTTCTAAAGGATCTCAGCTGCTCGCAGCTGGACGGCACATAGCCATAGGAAGCCGATTGCGCAGCAACACACTGTCCTGCCCATCCCTCCAAAGAGACACCCTCGATGGCATGCCGGAAAAGGTAAGATCCTGGAATGGATGCAGGGGTTTGCGGGGTGCTTACAAAGCATCTGACGTGCGCTCAAGTCTGTCCAAACTCTGAGTCGCAATGCCACAACTAGTATCACCCCGGACCACGCATGTCTTCTGCTTCTTCTGGGAAAGAAGATTCCTGTCTCCTGCGCGCACACGCTCACCATCAGGTTCAAACATTCTTATGGTGTACGTAACGACTCTCTCTCTCTCTCTCTCTCTCTCTCTCTCTCTCTTACACACACGCACGCGCAGCCACCCATGCGTCCGTCCATCCATCCGTGCATGCAAGCATGCATACATCCATACGAAGAGGCTCTATTTACATGTGTGTACGTTACAACGCAATTCATCAATGAGCCGGGCATCGATCCGGACCGGGCTCGGCACAAAAGGACGAGTGCAGCACAGCAGAAGCGATCCCGATGATGCAACCTTCCCAGACCTGGAGGATGAAGGGCTTAAGGGCCATTAGTGGTGCTTCGGCTTCTCCCAGCCAAATGCGATGAGCTGCTCTTCCCCCCCCCTCCCCCGTGCTTTGCACTAGCTTTCGTAATTTCTGATTGCTGGGTTGTTTCTATGCTGTCGCAACTAGCTCCGACAGAACTGACGACAAAGTCCGCTTGACTGGGCCTGCGGGGTTCGCGCGATCCAGTTGGCTGCCACACAAAGGGTCATCCATCGCATGGGCCTTGGGGCTTTGGGGCCTTGGGGATATCATGCTCTTGGGAGAGGTTGGGATGAGTGTTGATTATTGGTATCTACTGACCGAGTATGAACGTTTCCTTCTGGTGCTTGCACTTCGCTGGTGTAGATGAGGCCAGCTGTAGCGTTTTTTACAAATACGTTTGCATTTTTTTGTTGCGCTTTGTGTTTTCCCTCCGCTTTGGCTTGCAGTTAAGACCTGTGCAGTCTGGCATGCTGTCGAACCATAGTGACTACAGTGAAGACATAACGCTCGAAGGCAGCTGGTCCCCCATCGTCAGATGCTCTTCGATGCAACAAAGGATCGGGTCAACCCATACGAGAAGCAACTGTCGTTGAGTTTGGCTTACAAGAAACGTCATTCGAGGCACGCCGGTCATCCCACTCCCCACTAAACCCTGAAACCCTACAGCCTAACTGTTCATTTTTTTTGCCTCCCGCATGGCTGAGTACGCGAAGCAGGGTGATTGGTTACATACTGCGGCTAACTGTTCATGTTCTAGCAGAAGGTTTTGTCTAGAGACCAGCCTACAAACCTTCCTTCGACCAAGACAGCCCAAGGGTCGAGTCCGCCGCAGGCCCCCGGCTCCAGGATGCCAACTCCTACTTGGAGGATCATGGGACTTAGTTAGGGTTCTTCAAGGACTCCTTAAAGGGATCTATAAGGCTCCTTAACGGGATCTATAGGGTTTAGAGTGCAACGTGGAGGGTCATGGGATATTAGTAAGTAAGGTTATAAGTACCCTAATTGGGGTTTTAAGTATAGTTACCCTACTTATATCCATAGTTACTAAGTCCCATGATCCATTAAGTATACTAGCAAAAACCTACTTGTCGGGTATCATGGGAAACTGAAGGTTAACCTTTTGGGCTATGTAGGATTATATCGGGACTCTACTACCCAAAAACGGTTAAAAGTTACCTACTCTGCTACTAGCAAAAAATAGCAATGAATAAGAATAAGTCTAGTAGTAATACAACGAAAAACAATCACAAAAGTAACAGCAACGCGGCAATAATGCGGATAATAGTGGTACTAGCAAAACATACAAAAACAACAATTACGCCAGATGACAATAACAGTATCAACAACAAGAATAACAATAACGGCCCCTCGATGCATGTGCCGGGCTGACGAGAGTCCTTCCCCAGCCATGGCCAGTCCACACCTGGCGGGCACCATCCGCGTTGTAGCATTTTATACTGTAAGGTATTGTCGGTCTATTGGAATTCTACTATAACTACATATGTTATATTACAGTATCGGCCCCAGGGAGGCCACCAAACTGGGCCGGTACAGGTCTGCAATCAGCTGCAGCCGTGTAGCTCGAGGCCGGATTGTCGCAACCAGCCGAAACGTCCGCCATAGCTGGCGACAGCTTTCATGCAGCTTGGCCGTGCGCTGTGGGTGTTCCACGTCTTTGTGCACGAGGTGTGTATGCGACCCATGCTGTCATGCACTGGCTGGTCATAGGAAGGAGTTATGTTTGCCTGACTCGGGGCTCGGTTTGGACTACCTCGTTTCATTTCATGGATGTCTCGGGTTTGAGCATGCCGTCCCGTCCCACAGCGGAATGAATACCGCAAAACCCTGCCGCTGAAGATGCGGTTCCAACGAGTTCACATTGGTGAGGAAACCCGTGTCGTAAACAAAAAACAGACTTCAGCAACGTCTGTCGTCAGGCGGCGACGAGATATGTGCATTGGACGAACGGTTTGAGGCCGATGCAATCTTTGAAGTCTGCTTCACGGGCGGCATGCTCTCTGGAAGGCTGGCCACCTGAAGATACACACCCATCTGACAAAAGAGCCCGTTCTTGTCCCATGGCAGCTAAGCTAAGCTCCCCACTTCTTTCTGAGCTTCAACCTCGGCTGCACCTCTTGCTTCTGGCCGGGCGCATCCGCAGTCCTCCTGGCAAACTGTTGCTTGAGACAAGTAGGTGTCTGCTTCCCCTGTCGTAAATCCCTAGAACTTCCAAGAAGCTCGTGTCAACATCTGCCAAGTTGCTACAGTACTAGTTCCTCTTACACGTTCACTGGCGTCTCGAAGTATTGGATTCTAAGCTCTGAGCCATGAAGAAGCAGCTTTTGCCTCGCTGGGTTCCCTACATGAGCCCACTTGGGAGTTTCCGAAAGTCAGGGGTACCTTATTTGGGGTCCTTATAATAAGGATCCTACTATTTAGGGTGCTCTGTTAGGGTCCCCTATTTTCGGAAACTCCCACTTGGCTACCGAGTGTATACTGGTGGCTGGTGCTACAACGACGGCTTCGATTGCTCCAATGCGTGAGATATCGTGAGATGACAGAAAGTTGCTCTGGACCATTGCGGCAAGTCCTCCGGCGCTTCTGGCAGGGACGATGCCATTCCTGTCAAGGCTGGGCTCAATAACCAAACATACCAATAAGAACGAGAATACACGAGGCAGCAAGAAAGCTGACGCATGGTATCGCCAAACCCAATGTCAATGTTTGTCAAATTCGGAGCTGCTCCCACTCGTGCTTTTCCGCAGACAACATGTGCATCCGGACAGAGAAGGAAAACTTATAAATCTTCATACCCCGCGCACCTTCCGAAGCCAGGGATGCCGCCAAAAATGCTGACAACTCCTGAGACCAGCACGAACAGGGAGCAGCCGCCCCTGAACAACATCTTGCCGGTCCTCGTGCGCCGCGGATTCTCCCGGTGCCTCGGCTAAACGCTCTCCAGTCTGGAATCTGGAAAGGGGGGATGCAAGATCCTTCATCTTTATCTTGCGGGGTCGCGGGGTTTAGGGGTCTGGGGGGTTTGGGTCTGCGCTGTGGGGTTTGCGGTGCTTGCTGCTGTGCACACAGACCAAGAATGTAGTTGTACTTGGTTCCATGTACTCTGCATACAGTACAGACCAACGGCGGCTTGTCACAAAGTCCTGAACAGTCCACCCCTCGGGGGAGCTCTCCAAGAAGTCGTGCCTATGTTGGAATTTCTAGCGCCTGAGATTTCCGCTAGCGCCGGAGAAAGGTCTTCGTCACCTTCAGCTGGAGCCTTCGACATGTTTGGCCGTCGACCTGGCGAAAGGATCCTTATACAGGTCTCTAAACCCTAAACCCTATATGGGGTTTAAGTCGGTTGATCCAAGGATGAATATTCCTTCTTTTGAAGGCTCCTTTCTCACTGCTGTGTGTGAGATTCCTTTGCTAGGATGAGCACTGTATGTCGAAAGGGTTTAGGGCTTTGGGGCTGAGGGTTTCAATGAGTTTCAGAAAACTAGGATACCCTGTGGTACAGGGATCCTACTGATCAGGACCTTACGATCTAGGGTCCGTCACTTCCTGAAACTCCCATCTTGGCCAAGTCCAAGTCCCAATAAAAGCTGGCCAGCCGGTCCGACTGAGTCGCTCAGGCTCAGTGAAGACGAGCCTAGCGAGCAATGTAGGGGCCTTCGTAATCAGAACACGGTTTATTGATAATTATGTGGGGTATTTGTTTTTGAAGCTAATGAAGGGATGTTGGAGTCTCTCGGAACCTATCGCCTCCCATTCTCGTGAATAATTATGTGCCGGCCTGCGGACAACAGGGATGCTTCCAGCAGCTCCAAGGACGGCTCCACTGGCAGCAGCTCCTGCACGTGGGGTGCTTAGAGAGCCCAATACCCCTGGCACACCCCTGAACCAAGGAATATGCCTTCAATTATAGGGGGCTTCATATTTTGATGTAAACTATATTCCTTAATCAAAGCTCTCTGGCTAGCTCAACATCTAGACCGGAACAAAGATCTGAGGACCCCATCGCATCACTTGTCCTGTTTTTCTTGCATCGCCGCCTCCTCAGGCGGCGCCTTGACCACAACAATCTCAATAGCAAGAAAAGGCTTCCCAAATTCCACACGCACATGCACTTGATTCGGAAGGGCCCTGATAGAAGGCTTTTCTGCGTCTAATGCTTTGCACTTCCAACGCCACAGCTGTTCCGCTACTACGGCGACTACGCCTCACTGAGTCATCCGTAGCATTCCGTAGCCTTCCATACTGACATCCGTGGGGATGCAGCGCATGTCTGCATCACTCTTTTGTTGAATTCAGGCTCTATGCCATCACTCTTCCTAGACTATTGCCGCCGATCCCAAGCGCCGAACCATAAACCGAAGCTGCTCTGCCCGACCCCTCCGAGACTGCGGCACAGGGGAGCTCATCGTCGGAGTCGTAGAGGCAGCTCGCCTCTTCCTGCTGAGCAGATTCGACTCTTCACTCCCGTAATAGTAGTTAGTAGTACAAATGGGAGTTTCCGAGAATTAGGGGTACCTTATTCTGGGGTCCTTATAATAAGGATCCTACTATTTAGGTACTATATTAGCGTCCCCTATTTTCGGAAACTCCCAAATAGTAATAGTAGTAGTAACTAGTAATCGTAGCGGTAATAGTGATAGTAACAGTAGTAGTTCCAGTGACAGCTGGGTTTCAACAAAACGATCACGGCGACTTCGTGTCATTTCTGTGGGGGAGGGAAGGTTGCACCTGCGCTCGGCTGTGCATCTCCTTAGTGTGCCTCTGCCACGCCGCTAAAACCAGTGCCTGGGTATCTGCAACATGTGCCCACCGTCCTCTGGTTGCTCCACTGATGGTACCGATGGTACACATGGCGATTCGAGCAGGTCTTGGGTCCTCGCCGAGGAACCGTTTGCTGGTTCTTGTTAAGGAGCTATAATAACATGGGAAGCCATGGTACCTCTCATTATTATACATACCTCTCGTTGTAACCTACAAGCCGACTCCTGACATCTGAATATAACGCAAGTGATCATGGCTTCTGCGCGGTCTTCGGAGTCGTCCTGCTCAATTCGGGTGGCGCCTGGCACTTGCACCAGGATCCACTTGCTTCCCTCTGTGACAATACTTATGGGGATTCAGGAAGCTTGGCTTCTACACAGTCAAATTAAATTGCACCTGAAAAGTCACACGGGGACCGTGAACTTATGGCTCCTGGAAACGAACCTTGGTGCCGCCTTAGCCCACTGCTGCTGGCAATCTGAGCTCAAGGCTTCCGGAGGTTCGTCGACCAAATCTTCAGCGGAGGCAACTTTTGAAGAATCTACTAATAATATAGTAGGAACAACAATAATACATACTAGTGATAATAATAGCAGTTATTCACTAATAATAATAATAATGATAGGAAGCGGCCTTCATGAACACGGTACATCAACATGTGATCTGACTCTTTTGGCGTGACGGCCTGCAGCGTCCACCTCCTCACCGGCCTCCCGTCAAGCACCATTGCTTGGAGGTCCATGGGTAGTTATAAGTGGGGCTTATAAGGCCTGTAGGGTTCCTTTAAGGGTTCTATAGGGTTTAGGTTTTTAGGGGTAGTTTTAAGTGGGTTGTAAGCAAGGTAACCATAATTATAACCCATATTAGGGGACTTATAACCCCACTTATAACTACCCATGAACCTCCAAGTATACATGAAGAAAGCAAGGCAGGCCTGGCTAAGCAATCACTGCTGCAAGAGTTCACGGCTTTGCTGATATCCGATGGCATCTCGATATGGGTAGTTGTCAAAAATAGGTCCCTGTTTGGGTTCTTAATATCATACGGCACCTAATATTTAGGGTACCTAAAAAGGGACCATAATTTTGACAACTACCCATATGCATTTTCAGTACTCTCAGCGTGCTTGCCGTCAGCTTCGCCGCAAGCCTGGGGAGCCTCGTCAGCACAAACCTCGGGCATCTCAAATCTTGCTGGGAATCTGCAGCACTCTAACCCCAATCTTGACCTGAAATCGCTTTACGCTCTCGCAACTCGGACACGCCAAGAGTTGCTTTTTAGGCTGTCTTAACAGTGGTATATGGCATCAATTTACATTGTACTGCAAACAAGTTGCCGTTGCTGACTTTCGGCTTGCACTCTCCGGGCCTGGCCAAACAATGAATTCACTGCACACTGCTGGAAGGAACGCGGTGCTCTCGCAACTCAGACTGGCCTTGCGAGGTCTCTTGGTGCGCGGATCGATCGTGAAACGCTTAACAGAGCTGCATCGTTTCGGGTTTCGTCGCTCACTCCGGCACGCAGCAGGCAAGGCTCCACATAGCGACGTTTAGGGTTTGGAAGTTTGGGGTTGAGGGATCTTAAGGCAAAGCCGCAATCTTGTGCTGCCTGAAGTTGAACGACAGCATGCTCACTCCAAACGACAAGGTAAGCCAGCTGTACGAGGCGGCCGCGCACTGAACCTGCCGGCATCATCGCCACCACGTGAGTGGCTTCAAGAATCTGTGTGAGTCGCATAAGCTGTCGGTCAGTCGGCGACTCAATTTGCAGATTCTTTACTTACTTCGCCTGCTTACGTCTATGTTCTTATCTCTCTGCGTGTTTGCATTACATGTTGTTCTCCCCGTCCCCCGTCCCCCTTGCCCTTCATGCGTCCCCCCGTGCTGTTGCACAACTTAAGGTGATGCGACGCATGCTGGCCTGGGGGCCTTGTTCCGCAGATAAGAACACGTTTGAAAGAGTTGTGCCGACAATACTGCGATATGTGCAGGGCTCCAAGCTGTCGCGGCTGCCGTCGAGGAGAAGCTTTGGTTTTCGGCAGCCTGGGTGCGTTCCGGAGCCCTTTCACATTCACAGCGTGGAATCTGCACAGGGCGGCTCACTGAGTTGAGCACTCAGTCTCTGCATGTGATGGAGTCACCTGTCCGAGGGCTAAGTCTTGAATAGCTTCGGCGTCGTCGGGTGGCACCAGCAATAAATGAGACAGTCAACACAGTGGACAAACGGCAATGAAGTGAGAGACCACAACAACAGCAACTACTACTATCTACTACTACTACTACTACTACTACTACTACTACTACTACTACTACTACTACTACCACCACCACCACCACCACCACCACTGCCACTGCTGGCACCACCATCACCACCACGACGACGACTACAACTACTATGACCATGACCATATCTGTTACTATTCGACGAGTTCAGAATGTCCTCCACATTCTCGCTTGCCCTCCTTGGCTGCAGTCCCTGGCCTCTGCAGTCTTCGGCTCCACCAGCCTCGGCGAGCAGTCGGGCTTCCAGCAGCGCATTCCCCAGGAGTTACTTAAAGGATCATGGGACTTAGTAACTAGGGTTATAATTAGGGTAACTATACTTATAACCCCAATTAAGGTACTTATAACTTATAACCTTACTAAGTCCCATGATCCTCCAAGTAACCCTTGGGCATATAGACCCTCTCAGCAAGGTCCCTTTTAAGAGAGCCAGAAGTAAGGCTAAGAAGGGTCCTCTGGAAGGGGTCTCCCTAGTGAGTGCTACACAAGATTCCCACACCACTTATGTCCGAAGATGTCCGAAGAGTCTGGGAGTTATAGAGCCACAGCGAGCTGGTCCTAGTCGGAACGCCTCGCGTTTTGCAGCCCTTTGCCTTGATCGGTTGAGCCACAGCTCAGAAACGGACTCTAATGCCTCAAAACCGAACATCCTTTGGCACAACAGGCCAACCTCATCAAAGCTCCCCCACGCACGAAAGATACTGCCATGTCTTGGGCAGGTATGACAGGAAATCTTCAAAGCAGAGGACAGGTGGCTCAGGCTCGCTCTGAGCGGATCCCTCCACAAGCTGGGCGCCCTCAGTTTTCCGTCGGCGCAGGATGACGCAAAGAAGTGCAGCTTTCAAGCCTGCGGCCCTACGGATTCAAAGGGACCAGAATGGGGCCATGGACCATAGACTTTGTGGTATCACGTGCCGACGCGAGACTCCGCAAACCCCGAGCCGAACAGAGCCTGGCCCGAATGAGCTGAGCGATCAGTACCCGGCACCGCCATAACCCGCCGAAGCGAGGAGCTTCTGTAGGCGAACCTCACGATCCTCGGGTCCACATGAAGTTCAGCCTTGATCAATGCATGGGCCCTGTGCAGGCCAATTTATTTTTTGAGCACCTTTTTCCATCCGCCTAAGTCTTAATATCCGGAATTCGCTTCGCGAAAATTTGCTTGGTAGGTTCATTGCTGACAGAGTGCGGGTGCATTCGTGATTGTCCGATCTCTAGTCAGTGGCCGCATCAATCCACGTATTTCCACCTCATGATTATTCCCACGCCCGAACAGTCTGAGGTGCGAACAGGCCGGCACTCCAGTTCGCCATCCACAGGCGCCTCATGTCAATCAGTTGTCCATTCGCAGTGCTGAACTCAGAACACATGACGGGCCCTTCCGGGTGTCGCGAGAAAGAACTCTCCAAGCAAGTAGTGGATTGAGTCAGAATTGGTCGTGGAGGCCTTTGCTGTCGGGCTCCCTTTCTTTTGAAGGTGTGCTCCTTTGGCCGACGGTGTCTCACGGGTCGGTTTGGACTTTCGCGCTTTGCTTGGTTCCGGGTGTGATCCTCTCAAGATGTCTCGCAAGTTGTCCAACGTAAGGTCGAGGCCATGTCCAAGAAGCTGGTGCTGGGGCGCTGCTCCAAGCTGGTTCGACAGCTTCCTAAGCACTGCTCCCCATCCTCGAAATCATCTGCCTGCTGATCATTGCTGGCAGATGTTTGGCCGGTGTCTCCATGTCCTATGAAGAACTCTTGCCCCTAAAGAAGTGTCTCACGACCTGTTGAAGCCGTCTCGCCACGTGATGCGCAGTTTCAGACCAATGCAGTCGCAGAGCAAGTCAGAGCATGCTGTCAGAGGTCCTTCAAGTAATTAGTGACCAGTGCCCGCACATAGCGCAGGAGAAACACCGAAACATCTGTGAACCATGCGAAGCTTCCAGATAGAGGCATGTGGTTTTGCGACCTGCGGCGACTTGTTGAGACGCAGCCCGTGCAATCTCTGAAAAGCTGTGCAGTTTGCACAGCTCAGAGAGGCTCAGATGCTCCAAGCCTCGGCAGGCAGAGCACGCTCGAGACCGTTTCCATATCTTTGCACCATGATTCCGTCCGGTGCACGCCTGCAAACCTCCCTCAGAGCTCCGAGAATGCTGCGGCCGTAGAAGTCGAGAGGACAAGTGAACAGAGTAAGCATCGCTCCAAAATCCAGCTGCTACTCGATTCCGATTCTTGCTCCCGAGGCCCTAAGCTCGAAGACCTAAAACCGTGCACTTCACTACGATACACTTCTACATTCCCAAACGTTGAAACAGCAATGTACTATAACGACTACAAAAGGCATAATGCAATACAGTAGAGCGTATATAGTATGTTAGCACTAGGAACTGAAATCTAGTTCCTAGGTTTATATACGGGTTTTGTAGGGCTGTATGAGTTTTTAATGGAGTCTAGTGCAGTAGATCATCATCGAACCATCATGGTCCAAGGGTGGTGCGCAGGAGCTTGAACAGCAGTGCATCGTACCACAAGAACATAGTCAGTTATGGAAAGAACCGTGCTGAACACAAAGATGATCGTGTCGGCCGACGGTGTCCAGCACAACAGCTTCCTGTGGCTTTCTCGCGTCTGTGTGTGTGTGTGTGTGTGTGTGTGTGTTTTTGACCTTCGAGGTTTGCAAAGAGCTTTCAACTCTTGCCATCGGGACACTCCAGGTGAAGTTGCTGCTACGAATGTCACGTTGGAACAGGACTCACGCCAAGTCTACAAAATCGTCAAACGACAACTCGCAGCGACAACCAAAACCTTACATCTGTCGGACCAGACTCCAAGAGAAGCTTCAGGCCCTTCAGGCTAGTGCGGGATTTCGGGGTAGAAGTCTTGCTGCAGCGAATATTACGCAAGCTTCTGCTTTTGTCTCAAGAACAGCTCTCTTCATCCTGAAAAAGTCGGCGCTCTGGCCGAGCCATGGGCCGCACATGGGCCCCCATGTTGTGTACTTCACACCCACGATCTCTTTGAGATCTGCCGCTCTGCCGGCTAACTGCCTTACAGGCCGGCACAGTTCGGCACCGGATGTCATAACATGTTTTCCATGTCACTAGGACTTCGAGGTTTCAGGCTTTCAAAAAGGAGGAAGCTCGGATAATCATTTCGATTCCTGCTGCCCCGACACATCATGCTTTTCTCTGCAGAAAGATCGAAGCAACACTGATCACGGCTAGACATGGCGCAAACAACAGCAATGCTGGCAGCAGGAACTGCAACAACAAACATGAAATGAGGCTGACTATGAGCTAAGATTGGCGGTGCGGGCGAAGATGGCTTGGCCAGCTTCGACAAGGCCTTTCGTTCGAGGGATTCTATGGAGAGGACCTCGCACCCTCGAAGCCAGAAGGTTAAAAGGCATGCCTGTTGTCTGGGATGATCATCACAGGCACGGGACGAAATATTAGCACCTGCTAAAATGCCAATAGCGCCATGCTATGCAGGCCGCAGCCTTCAACGCCAAACGCGAAGTCAGGCTGACCTACATAAACAATACCCCTCAGGTGAGGCCCGTTTCAAGACATGCATTCGGCACAGAGACTCATTGCGTCCTGTCCATCTTTCTTATGTATGCAGTAAAGTGACACTGCAATAGGCAATTAAATTGAGAAAGTGTCGTCATCATCTCCGATTCGAGAAGCCGAGAGCTGTGATGGCTGCAGGGATGGCTGTGGCTTCCGCTTGAAGTGCCATATGACGGCCGTGAGTAGTGAGCCAGCACCGACAATGATCACTGGCAGAGGGTTGTCTTCGTCTGTCGCTGCTAGGCTAATGCTCAGCGGCAGCCACAGTAAGCAAACACCAAGAAAAGAGAGCGGCGCGACGATGAAGACGGCCAACCAGCGAGAGGAAAAACGCTTCTCGATCAAGGTGCCTAGAGTCCAGAGTGGAATGCTGACCCTCAGTGAGAAGAGCAGGGCCACACCCACAATGGCCCATGTGACAAAGTGTCTTAGGCTCCAAACAGAGATGACAGGACGGTGGTCTTTCGTCTCGGCCCATCGTGCGATGAAGTCTGCCAACCAAGGCACGATGCAAAAGACGGCCGTGTAGACAACATATTGAAATGGCAAGCCGATTCCCATTCCATCCTCAATTTTTGGGGCCACGCGCTGACGGACTGATGCGTTGAACCTGTCCAAATGCGGATCAGACCCGCCGTCTTGTTTGGCCACCCACCAATCTTGGATGGTTTCGTAAACGAGCTGGCGGTCACAGGGAAGTGGCTCACCGGTGCGAGGATGCACGTGCGAGTGACTACAGCAGTAACACTTCGAATCCTGGATGCGAAAGCTCTGGAGTTGCTTAGGTACCTCCTGAAGCTCAGACATCAGCCCGATGCCAACATAGAAGGACAGCGGCACCAGCAAAGAAGCGAAACCCAACATGGCCACTGTCGTGCTCAGCCCACTGGCAGCATCCCATCCCCCACGCACGCCAAACCTGATCAGAGAGAAGTAGTAGCTTGCCAGCAGGTGCCAGCAGCTAGCCACCATCAGCAGCAGCAGGGTTGTCTTCTGTGGGATGATCCGGAGTCTGTTCAAGGAGGCCTTATCACGCAAAAATGCAGATATTTCGAACACGCACCACAGCCGTGACCTGGGTCCACGTTACGAGACAAGGAAAGAGAAAGCTGTATACTCTGCATAGGCTACGTCTTGGAATGTGAGGAGGCCCAAACAACAACACAAAGCTTAAGGGATCCCTCACATTGACCAAGCGACAGGTACTGAGGGCTGAGTAGCACCACCAGTTCCCGGGAGCTCAGAAGAAAGGCACCAAGACTCTGAATGCCCTCCTGCTTCAACTCCTCGTCGTGCTGCGCGACGCAAAGCTTGTCCAAGAAGACCACGAGGGGTCGGCAGAAGATGGCCCGTACGCGCTGCCAGAACAAAAAGACAGCAAAGTAGACCGCATAGACAACCGACAATGTCCATGTCCGGTCTGGGATAACTCGATATGCACGCAGTGTGCCCACCAACACGCTCACCAAACATGAGATAGCGAAGGCAGGTCCTGAGTTGAAAATCATGAGCAGGGATAGGAACTTCAGCCAGCGGGATGATGCCCAGTCGTGGCTGAGGAATGCATCGTAGCCTTTCGTGGGCCGACTGAGCTCGTAGTTCTTGGGGTCCACATTGAACATGCCTTGATCAGGAGCCCTCCAATGTTGGCCCCAGTTGGACAAAGCCACGTGTAACGGGACCCCGCGAAACAACTCGGGTCGCGCCGCAGTACGAAGCGATCTCGATGTACTGGGCAGAGAACGCATCGTGGCCTGTGTGGTGATAGCATCTTCGTCCATAGCGCTAACCATGACGATCTACGAATGAGGTGCTCCACAGCCCGTTCCCTTGCCCTGAGAACTATCCGACTTTGGGGCTTAGAGATTTCTGTCGTTCTGTCCGCTGCAAGCCGCTCTAGACCTGTTCATGCCAACATTGATCCAATGCATGGGCCCCGTGCAAGCCAAAATTCACTTGGTAGGCCTGAAGATTCATTGCTGACAGAGTGCGGGTGCTTTCGTGATCGTCCGATCCCTAGTCAGTGGCCGCATCATGTGCAATCCACGTATTTCCACCTCATGATTACTCCACGCCCGAACAGTCTGAGGTGCGAACAGGCCGGCACTCCAGTTCGCCATCCACAGGCGCCTTATGTCAATCAGTTGTCCAACCGCAGTGCTGAACTCAGAACACATGACGGGCCCTTCCAGGTGTCGCAAGAAAGAACTCTCCAAGCAAGTAGTGGATTGAGTCAGAATTGGTCGTGGAGGCCTTTGCTGTCGGGCTCCCTTTCTTTTGAAGGTGTGCTCCTTTGGCCGACGGTGTCTCACGGGTCGGTTTGGACTTTCGTGCTTTGCTTTGGTTCCGGGTGTGATCCTCTCAAGATGTCTCGCAAGTTGTCCAACGTAAGGTCGAGGCCATGTCCAAGAAGCTGGTGCCGGGGCGCTGCTCCAAGCTGGTTCGACAGCTTCCTAAGCACTGCTCCCCATCCTCGAAATCATCTGCCTGCTGATCATTGCTGGCAGATGTTTTGCCGGTGTCTCCATGTCCTATGAAGAACTCTTGCCCCTAAAGAAGTGTCTCACGACCTATTGAAGCCGTCTCGCCACGTGATGCGCAGTTTCAGACCAATGCAGTCGCAGAGCAAGTCAGAGCATGCTGTCAGAGGTCCTTCAAGTAATTAGTGACCAGTGCCCGCACATAGCGCAGGAGAAACACCGAAACATCTGTGAACCATGCGAAGCTTCCAGATAGAGGCATTTGGTTTTGCGACCTGCGGCGACTTGTTGAGACGCAGCCCGTGCAATCTCTGAAAAGCTGTGCAGTTTGCACAGCTCAGAGAGGCTCAGATGCTCCAAGCCTCGGCAGGCAGAGCGCGCTCGAGACCGTTTCCACATCTTTGCACCATGATTCCATCCGCTGCACACCTTCCTCAGAGTCTCGAGAAGGCTGCAGCCGTAGAAGTCGAGAGGAAGAGTAAGCGTCGCTCAAGATTGCAACTACTACTCGATGGCTAGTCTTGCTCTCTAGGACCTTAAAGTAAAAGCCAGAAAGTTGGAATATGATTATCCTACACCCTTTATGGTAAATTATAAGGTATCCTACCGTGAAACCATATTCCAACTTTCTGGAGTTCCCTTTACAGCAACTCCAGGACACCAAAACATCCTACCAAAACCCCATAGTCGACGACAGTATACTACCAAGTTGTTGCTATAATATACTCAATGATGATGTACCATAGTTACTTTAACATAACCCGAAACCCTAAACCCCTGAACCCTAAAGATCCCTAAAGCTCTTCTTCCTACATCCCTTCATATCCCTTCTTTCGGAGACTCCGATTCCGAGAAGCCCGAAGAGGGCTCAGAACTCCGCCTGCACGGGCGACTCCAAGAGTCGGCTTTGGAGCTCCTCCGAAAGATTTTGGGGTTTGGGGGTTTAGGGGGTTAGGATTTTAGGGTTGAGGGGTTTCGGGGCTTATGATTTTAGGGTTTAGGGTTCTTGGGTTTTGGGGTTTAGGATTGTTGGGCTTCTGGAGCTCCTCCGAAGGGATTTCGCCTTTTGCTTTTCAAGGACGAGGCCGGACAAAAAGAGTTCCTCCGAAGGGTTTCGTGTTTCGGCGCTCACACTCGGACAATCCAGGCGAGGCATATGGGGGTTTCCGAAAATAGGGGACCCTAATATAGTACCCTAAATAGTAGGATCCTTATTATAAGGACCCCCAAATAAGGTACCCCTAGTTTTCGGAAACTCCCATATGGTTCGGAGTCTGACAATGTGAAACTTTCTAAAGGGCCAGTCAAGTATTGATCAATACAACGAGTGGAACACATAAAGTAATTGTACCTGAGAAGACTGTTTTAGGGGTTCTGGGGTTTTCGATCTCGCATGGCAGGGTTTTAGGGTTTGGGGTTCAGGGGTTCGGCGATCACACTCGGCCAATCTGGGCGAGGTTTAGGGCTTCGGCGCTCGCACTCGGACAATCCAGGCGAGGCATGTGGGTTCGGAGTCTGATGAGTGAAACTTCACTAGGAGGAGTAGTCAGTATGTAAGCAACAATTAGCCTATCAGCAAGTAAAGTGACTGTGCCTTGGTCGACCCGTCCTCCCCTCAGGATCCTATACTGTGGACAGCAAAGTGTGTACTCATAGGACCCTGAGGACAGACAGATGCAGATCACCGTTATTGGTTGGGGTGAGGGTATAGTTTTAATAGATTATCAAGGTTGTAGTGTAGACCGGGTTGGTCTAGGTTATGCGTGAGGTACATTGAGGTTTAGGGTTTAGGGTCTTGGGTTTCAGTTCGGGTTTCGACAGGGTCTTGGGTTTGGGGCTTATGATACAAGTGGAATGCCACGTGATATGATACACGTATAATAGTACGATAGAATAGACTAGCGGTCTGAAAAAGCAACGGAGGTTTCATAGGGCCTTATATGAATGCTTGCTAGGCTTGTATAAGGGTTTAGTAGGGTTATATAGAACGTCATGGAACTTACTGCGGTAAATCATAACGGGCCAAAAGGCAGTGCACAGGAGCTTAATGGAAGAGTAATGCATGGTACTAGACGAATAGTCATGGCAGGAGCAGTGCAGAAAAAACAAAGTCTTGGTCGCAAGTGTCCGGCAAAACAACTTCCTCGCACTTTCTTTCGTGTGTGTGTGTGTGTGTGTGACGTTCGAGGCTTGCAACAAGCTGTTTGACTCTCGCAACTCGGACACTTCACGCGAAACGCTGCGAATGTCGCGTTGGTGCATAGTCATCGAGTTACGTTGGACCAGGACTAAGGCCAATTCCACCCAAACCTCAAGCAACAACCAGATGTCAGACCAGACTCCAAAGGAAGCTTCAGGCTATTCTGGGAGAGAAGGCTTGCAGCAGCGAATATTACGCAAGGTCCTGTTTTTGTTTTACATCGGCTCTCTTCATTCTGCAGACGTCTGCGCACGCCATGGGCCCTCTTCATCGTGTACTTCACACCCACGATCTCTCTGAGATCTGCCGCTGTGCCGGCAACCTGCCTCCTAGGACCGGATACTAAATTCAGCCACCTCAGTACACCAAACACGCACGGCAGGTTGACACTATTCACGTTCGGCACAGGATATCATCACATTTTCCACGTCCCACAAGGACATCGAGGGCTCAGGCTTTCGACACTCACAGAGGATGTACGGATACTCATTTGGACAAGTGCAGAAGACCATTCCAGCCAAAGACCCTCGTCCTCATTGTGGTAAACATTGGTTAACCCTGGGTAAACCCTTCACAGCGTCGCACAGCTCACAGCTAACGCCTAATTAGATGTGCTTTGCTTGAGGATGGTACACGAGCGAGCTTTGCCCAGATCCTGCTGCCCGCAAACACCTTGATTCTCTTTCTGCAAACAATCAAAAGGTAAGCACGCCTAGACATGGTGGAAACAATCGCAATGCTAGCACCAAGAATGGCAGCAAGAACAATGGAATGTGGGTGGCAATGCACTAAGCTTGCTCAGCCTGCACTGGACAAGTTCTCCTGAAGATGGCTCGGCCAACTTCGATAAAGCCCTTCGTTAGAGGGTTCTACGGAGAGGATGCTCCCCCCGTACCTTCGTTACCAAATTTTAACAGAGGAAGGGTGTGCCTGTTGTGTGGGGATGATCAGCACAGGTACGGGAAGGGATGCTAGTGCGAAAAAAAGGCAATGGAGCGATGCTAGCCAGGCCGCAGCCTTCAATGCCCAATAACTAATAACATATCTAATATACCCAATATCATGCATATATCGTATACATTCATATACCGAACCACATCTTCTGCCACGGCCCTGCAGCGGCCTTGCCGCAGGAGCAAGATGGAACTATAGGGCCTTAATTAGAATAGTGTCTTGGGGCCGATTATACTATAATTCTGATAAGGAGCCCCCAGAATAGTATAGGCCCTATGGTATGTGAGGCCACAGGCGAGGCCCATCCTTCATTAGGGCCTGGCCTGGCGAAATTTCAAAAACTCCGCATGAGGCACTCAGACTCATGAGGATTATCATTGTCATTATTACTATCACGAGTATGCAGATGATTATTACTATTTGTACTGTTATGATAACTATGATTTCCTTGTTCTTTCCTTCCAGCTATGTATGCCTCAACGTGACGCTGCAAAGGCAGTTAAATTGAGAAAGTGTTGTCATCATCCCTGCTCCGGGTGGAATTCCAGCGCTGCTGTGGCTTCGGCTTAAAGTGCCAGATGAAGGCCGTGAGTGCTGCGCCGGCACTGAAAATGATCACTGGCAGAGGGTTGTCGTCGTTTGTCACTGCAATGCTAATTCCCAGCGGCAACCACAGTGAGCAAACACCAAGAAAAGAGAGCGGCGCGACGATGAAGACAGCCAACCAGCGAGAGGACAAGCGCTTCTCGATCAAGGAGCCTAAAATCCAGAGCCAAATGCAGACCCTCAGAGCAAAGAGCAGGGCCAAGCCAACAATGCCCCATGTGACAAAGTGTCTTACGCTCCACAGAGAGATGACAGGACGGGGGCCAATTGTCTCGGCCCATAGCGCGATGAAGTCTGCCAACCAAGGCACAATGCAAAAGACGGCCGTGTAGACAACATATTGAAATGGCAAGCCGATTCCCATTCCATTCGAAATTTTGGGGGCCACATGCTGACGGACTGATGCGTTGAACCTGTCCAGGTGCGGATCAGACCCGCCGTCTTGTTTGGCCACCCACCAATCTTGGATGGTTTCGTAAACGAGCTGGCGGTCACAGGGAAGTGGCTCACCGGTGCGAGGATGCACGTGCGAGTGACTACAGCAGTAACACTTCGAATCCTGGATGCGAAAGCTCTGGAGTTGCTTTGGTACCTCTTGAAGCTCAGAAATCAGCCCGATGCCAACATAGAAGGACAGCGGAACAAGCAGAGAACAGAAACCCAACATGGCCGTTATCAGGGTCAGCCCACTGGCAGCGTCCCCTCCCCAGCTGCCAAGCACGCCAAACCTGATCAGAGAGAAGTAGTAGCTTGCCAGCAGGTGCCAGCAGCTAGCCACCATCAGCAGCAGCAGGGTTGTCTTCTGTGGGATGATCCGGAGTCTGTTCAAGGAGGCCTCATCACGCAAAAATGCAGATATTTCGAACACGCACCACAGCCGTGACCTGGGTCCACGTTACGAGACAAGGAAAGAGAAAGCTGTATACTCTGCATAGGCTACGTCTTGGAATGTGAGGAGGCCCAAACAACAACACAAAGCTTAAGGGATCCCTCACATTGACCAAGCGACAGGTACTGAGGGCTGAGTAGCACCACCAGTTCCCGGGAGCTCAGAAGAAAGGCACCAAGACTCTGAATGCCCTCCTGCTTCAACTCCTCGTCGTGCTGCGCGACGCAAAGCTTGTCCAAGAAGACCACGAGGGGTCGGCAGAAGATGGCCCGTATGCGCTGCCAGAACAGAAAGACAGTAAAGTAGACCGCGTAGACTACCGACAATGTCCATGCCTGGTCTGGGATAACTCGATATGCACGCAGTGTGCCCACCAACACGCTCACCAAACATGAGATAGCGAAGGCAGGTCCTGAGTTGAAAATCATGAGCAGGGATAGGAACTTCAGCCAACGGGATGATGCCCAGTCGTGGCTCAGAAATGCATCGTAGGCTTTCGTGGGCCGACTGAGCTGGTAGTTCTTGGGGTCCACATTGAACATGCCCTGGTCAGGGGCCTTCCAATGCTGGCCCCAGTTGGACAAAGCCACGTGTAACGGGACCCCGCGAATCAGCTCGGGTCGCGCCACAGTACGAAGTGACCTCTGCTGTCCCACGGACGATGTACTACGTGTTGAACGTAGCGTGCCTTGCGCGGTGACAGCATCTTCGTCCATAGCGCTAAAGAGCCGTAAAAATCTTGAAAAGAGCTGCTCCACAGCCCGCTCCTTGCCCTTAGAACTTTCCGGCTTCCATGGTTTTGGAGGTTTCTGCAGTTCTGTACATTTCAGTATGCTAGGTTTGTGCATGCCACCATGATGTAAAGTAATCTTCGATTCAGAGTGCTTGTTTCTGCAGTTTTCGCCAATCTAACCAATGTGAAGCCGGAACTTGGAAACGGCATGCGGGAGGAACACACTCCAAGAAAGCTCTACCCTCATCAAGGAATCACGAAACTCCGGCTCATGCCCCCAAAGACTCCAATATCCCATAATGTACCTAAAATGATGGTAGGATCCCTAGTATGATTTAAGGTATATCCCTTAATTAAGGGATGTTGGAGTCTCTGGGCCATGGCTTTCGACTGCAATGGCCTGAGCTTTGCGCTGGGCCACCTCCAAGACATCGGCGATGATTCCTCACGAAAGCATCCCCCTCTCCGAGACGAGCTGGCTGGAGCTTGAGTGCTCGGAGAAACAAGTTAAAAAAAACCCTAGTAGTATGATTTCCTTCTAGTCCTTTAAGTATCCGTTGTAGTATGTGCCCAAGATCTTCTTCCAAGCATTACGGATGCAAATCGGCCTTGTGACTGAGCCCGGGCAATGACAAGGAGCAGGGCGTCGAGGTTCTCCTCAGACCTTGCGAGAGTTGCGATGCTGACATCTTGGGTTCAAGGATGGTTTCTACTTGGAGGTTCATGGGTACTTTACGAGTGGGATATAGTGGGATATCCCCTTACTAGCCCGTCATTTTACGTAGGGTAACCATAATATGCTCCACTAGTAGTCCCACTGTTAGTACCCCCAGGTGCGTCTAAGACACAAAGCAGCCTGGAGCATGTTTCTCAGCTCAGTGGCTTCACCTCGCATTGCAGAACTCTGTTCTACCGAAGTTGGCACTTCGCTGTGCGGCTTGCCGGCTTTACTTGGAGGATCGTGGGACTTAGCAAGTAAGGTTGTAAGTACCCTAATTGGGGTTATAAGTTATAGTGATAAGTATAGTTAATTACCCAATTATAACCCTAGTCACTAAGTCCCATGATCCTTTAAGTCTTTAAGTAGGGTTTAGGGCCTAGGGTTTCCCGGGCCTGTCTCCAACGGCTCAGCTCCAGAGAGGGACATCCGATGCACGGCAGTCAGCTGACTCGTGGTGTCCGGCATTCCTCGAGGCGGAACGGTACTTAGGGTTTAGGGTGGATTTTCGAACCAGGGCTACGCCCCCACTGCAAGCACATCCTTACAATGCCAGCATACCGTCAAAGCCTGTGTCGACCTAGGGTTTGCAAGGCGTGCGAAAACTCTGTCAAAGCCTTCCACCCTTCAGCAGCCCAGAAAAGCGAAGATTTCCCAGGAGGTGCAGGAAAGAGGCGAGCCCCGTCGAGGTACCAACTTGTCAGGCTCTTTTTCCGGCTGTCGTCGGGAATGATCTCCTGCGATTGGGCTCAGCTCGCCGGTGCATCTGCAGTGCCTAAGAAGGATGCAGCTCGGTCTGAAAGCATACCTTCGGCTCATGTTGTCACGAACCCGTGTCAGCCTGTCCCCCAGCTTGTAAATTCCAAGTCTCTCAGCAGGTGAAGATTGGCGTCATGGTGATTAAGACTTCCAGAGTTGCACTTATAACAAGACAAACATCACAAATGATGCCAGCAAGCGTAAAAGCAAGAAAATACAAATATTCAAGATCCATTGACATTTTACATTAGTAAGGGTAAATGGCAGTCGGAATTGGTATGCCCAATGGAAACAGTAAAATAAACACAGATCATTTCATACTCATAACAATATACAACAATGAGAACAACATCACCCAAAACTCCCAGATCTGCAACTCGTGTCCTCCTCTGCATACCAATCGGAAACGCTCCGCCGGCATTTTTCGGCAGATCGCGGGGTCAGGGACTGAATCTCGGAGAAGCACAAGACTCTCACCGGCTCATGCGCTGGGATGGAGAAGTCTGTCGGGTTCTGAGGAAGGGAATGGGGGAATGGGTTATTGGGACTACTGTTGGGTATTATTTTGGGACTGCTATCAGGATGGGTAACCCTGAAATTGCTTAGACTATAGTTAAGGCTCGCGCGTCAAGCCCAAACGCCACACAATCCCATCCCAGGTGGTCTGGAATCGCAAATATTTTAAGCGCCACGGGGACATGGAGCTGCAGAAGCTTGTAGCACCAAGGTGCCTCTTCGTCGTCGCCCCCATCCTGGCGGAAGCAGTCTCAGGTCCCTCAGTGCCTCGGCTGTGCCTGAACCTTGCTTAAAGGATCATGGGACTTAGTAACTAGGGTTATAATTGGGGTAACTATACTTATAACCCCAACTAAGGTACTTATAAACTTACTTACTAAGTCCCATGATCCTCCAAGTGCAGTACACCGTATGACTCAACCCTACCTCGACGGCATCGCTTTTTGCGGCGTCGTCGCTCTCACCTGGCATCGAATCTTCGTCATTGCAAGAACATGTCAAGATACTGGGACTCATTGGGAAGGCTGTCGTCCAAATTGAGTTCACGGTCGATGCGTTTGATTTCATGTGCCAGCCATAAACCATGGTACCCAACTTCTACTTGCAGCAACTTGCATGTACTTTGCAATCAAGCCGCTATCCTCATCATCTGTAATTGAGCCACGCATTTTCTGCGAGCGGGAGGATCTCAGCCTAGTCTCAAGTTTGGCTCGGATTCCCGTTTCGAGCAACTGCTTAGCTGCACTGCCTCGCAAGGTCTTCCGGTTTAGGGTTTAGGGGGTAGGGGAGCTTGAGCCACAAAGTGGCTTCCGTCGACTTGGGCATTCTTGTGACATCTCCATCGTTTCGCTTGAGCTAAAATTTCATCTAGTTGGTCCGAGGAGCGGATTAACTACGAACTTGAAATTCAACGGCCGGGTCGTCATCGACTCGAGGAAGTGCTGGCTGGAAATCTCGCCTGATTGTTCGCTTCTGACATCAACTGCTTCCATTGCCATGCTTGGAAACTCTCCCGCTCCTTCCAGCAAAGTTTGCTACCAAGAGGCTTCCAACAGTGCTCTCACGAATTCAGGCAGTAACGAAGCGGCAAACTACGGTCCAACCTATTGCCCGGCCAACCAGAAGCCCATCAGAGCTCCGAATGTTGCTGCATCCGACCAGATTGGTACGATTCCCACTCAAAGCAACTCATCCCATTACTAAGGGCCTCTACCTTGCAGTGACACCAACAAAGCCGACAGCACCAATGTCAACAACCACCAGCAACAACAGAAAGACAAGAGTAGACAACATCAAGAACAAGGCAGGCGTTGCGTCTGCCGCCGCGCGGGGTGTCGTTTATGTTTGGGAGATTTTTTGCTCAAAAAGCTAGAAAACCATGCTTTTTGCGTTGTTTTCATGAACAAGACGATGTATCGGAGGGCAAAATTGTGGAGTTCTCCGTCTTGTGATTTTGGTCTGGTTTTTGCTGAAGTATCGCAAATACCGTGTTTTTCGTGTTTGATTTATGTTGATTTTCCGGCTAGATTTGGAAGTTTTTCTGGAAAGCTTGAAAAACTCGAGGTTCTTGCATGGTGGGCGTTTCCAAAGTGAAGCAACAAGAAACGGGAAGCACCAAGGGACATAGCAACTGGTAGCCTGGTAGCGTTTGAGAAGTAACGCAACCAAAGAAACAGAAGACACAAGCCGCATTCGCATGGACGTCATCATCCCCCCCATCCCCCCCCTCACCCCCGCACAGAGCTGAAAGACAAATGCAAGTCGAAGCCGGCATGTGCAGAAAGTCGAGAGTCGGCAAAAACACTGCAAAAACCGATGCGAAATGGGAGAGACACACGAAAACACCGAAAAAAACGATGCGAAATGCAGAGCCGAACAAAAGTTTGCCGAGTGGAGCCCGCCGGCGCGCTCACTTTTTTTGGTAGAAAACACCGCAAAAACCGATGCGAAAGCAAAAGCAAAGTTAAATGTCAGGTGTAAAAAGTGCCAAAACTCAAGTTTCAGCGCATGCCAGCAGAGGAATTGCACCACCCCGCGCGGCGGCAAACGCAACACCTACCAAGAACAACAACACACACGCACACACACACACAAACACACACACACACACACACACACACAAACACACACACACACACACACACACACACACACACACATACACAACACAGGCCATCACCACCACCGCCAGCAATGTAACAACATGAAGCAACAATAACAACCGGAAGGGTAACAGAGCAACACTGATGATAATGTTAACGGTTCAACAACAACAAGAAGAGCAAGAGCCCGGACAACGGCAGCAATGACCACAGTCACAGCAACAGCCACGACGACACAACAACACCACCAACACCCACACCACTCCGTGCCCCAGGATGCCCCAGGTACTTACTTGCAACATCTCACAACCTGCATGGTTTCAACACGGCAGAGCTGCAAGTTGGCACATCGTTCCTGGGCTCAGTGGAAATTGAAGGAAAGCTGACAGTTGCAAAAGGCTTCCTTGGCCTGGGCCACTGCTACATCTTGCAATGCGTATATGATCGCCTCTGACTTCTGGAGCCGTTACCACAACACACAACAAGCCCGGAACATACAGTTGACAATCACCCAGACCAAACTGTAATGGCTCCAAACGCAACACTGTTTATTACGTTCGTCAAGTTTGTCTGGCCAGAACCTCCCTTAGACTTGTCCCTCTCGGCGAAAAGAATAAAAGGGGCATGGATCTGTAGGCATGTAGGAAATTATTTAAGGCACTTGAAGCTATGACGGAAAGCATCAGCTGTATGAGAACATCGCCCGCGCGAAGCTCCTCCACAACTTGCAGCAACTGCAAGTCAATCATGACATGGAATACGGTCGACTGCTGCTCACGGAAAATGCACATCTTTTCTCGGTCGGTACTGTCACTGCCCTAACTGGAGAGATGTTCTTCTCTGTCTGTTTTTAAGTGTAATGCTGTTGATTGCCGCGACTCAGGCCCATTGACCAGTTCCTACGCGGATGATTGTCAGGAGTACCTACGACTGCCACAACCACCGCTAATATTCGCTGATACTCCTCTACGACTGTGTGACAACCACATGCAACTCACAGTGCTAGCACATGATTCACCCTACCAATCACACTACAGAGACGAACACGCCTTCGGTGTTACTTGTCTTGGACTTTCTTGATGCCTGGTCTGTGATGTAAGCTAGCACGAAGGTGAAAGGATAGGCGCATCGAATGGTGACCTCTCATATCGGATAACCGATTTCGCCCGCTGTCCCCTACTATAGGGGCCTTAATAATTAGAATAGGGCTTTGGGGCACATGATACTTTATTTTTCATAATAAAGAACCCCCTAAATTGGCAATTATTCCTTCCTTCCTTCCATGGGGGATGAGTCCGTGCGCGGACCCGGGTCAAGGCCTCCTTCCCCCCCATAACGGTGGAAAAGGGCTTTGCTACTATTTGCTTAAGAACCCCCCCAAAAATAACAAATATATTCCTTATGGGGGTAATATAGGGATTATTATTTTTTTCTTTTGGGGGTTTCTTAAGCAAATAGAGGGCTTTGGGGTCTATGGAAGGGTTTGCTTTCAGCAGTCGGTTTAGCCGGTAGAGTGCGTCCGTCATTCAACCCCCAACCCTGTACACTATCGCGCATCCCGGCCTCAGAGGAAATCCTTAGACCCTCCACGGACGCATGCCCCCCGCAAGAACCTATGGTATGTAGCCGTACCCCTTTCCGAACAAAAAACTAAGGACCGTGCCCACATCAATTATTCCTCTCTCTCTCTCTCTCTCTGCCGTTGCATCCAGAATGATTTAGGCCCCTATATCATGTCGCTCCTGCGCCGCGGCCCAGCTTCGCGGCTCTACGCGTTTCACGACCACCGGCTGTGGAGGCAGCGATGGCACGCAGAAGCCCAACTGGGATGCCGCTCTCACAGTGTTACCGGACAACAGCTGAGAATTACGAAGATGGTGCATGTCCTTGGAGCCCCAACTTCGCACTTTACGACCACTTGCTGCTCTCTCACAGCGATGGAAACTGCAAGTGCTCAGAGCTTTCCTCAACCAAAGCCTTGTCCACATCTGCACCAGCCGAAAGCTCGCGCACCTTGAGACAACTAGACTAGAACGTACCAGCTGCTTCTGAGATCTTCTGAATCTGTAATCGCTGTGTAGGCAGGGTGCTAGTATCGTCCCATGGCGCCGGGAGGTGGTGGACGACGCCCACCATGAGCTCAGACCAGACATCCCATGCAAGGGGTTCAGGTCTTGGGGTGGGCGATTCCGTCTCGGCCTCGTGGGTGAAGCATGCTGAAGCGCTTTAAATAGGGCTGTTTTCGGATGCCTCGTATGTCCGCGACAATGTGCATGTTCATTGCAACCTCCATGCCAGGCTTGTGGGTCGAATGATTCGAAGGCTCTGCCCCTCACGTCGACACGGAAGCCAGTCTTTTGGCGTGGGGATGTAGAATCTCAGAATGCTGTTACGGTCTCAGAAGGCGTTGTGTTCGTCTGGAAGCTTAGGATGTAAATATCTATTCATGGCAACCTCAATGGACCCTACAACTTAGGATTTCTGAGCGAACATGATGCGAGTGGCTACCAAGATCTCGCCTGCTCGTTCCCATACACGCTGGTGCAGCAGATGCTGCTGCTGTACCACTGGTAGTACTACTGGCACTGTATGTCCATGAAATGCCATGAAGATTCCTTTGTTACCTACGTTGCTGCGAATTGGTTACTACTCGTGATGGCAAGGGTATTCCACGGGTATATCACAGGCATCAAGGATGATGGCTGGCGGCACAACTCCAAGCGAGCACAAAAGCCTGGAGCCAAGAAGCATCAGGAACCTGTCCACTTCTGCTCTCATGCGCACCAAAGCCGTGAAGTGTGTACATGACGACAGAAAGCACTGACTGTGCACCTTTTCTGCAGTCGAGCTATCGTTCTAGAGTCTTTGAACTATGTAGTTTTAAACCTTCGGATCACAAGCTGGACTTGTCCTGAAGGCTGACTTGTCGGCGGCTGTCGCTGCGTGAGTTCAGGAAAAAAGGGGACGGAGCGGCATGATTCCGACTATTTTGCGTGGGAACAGCATTGAGCAGCCGCGCTGACAATTATCCTCCACGCATGGCTATATGGCAGACTGTAGTCCTCGCTACATACTTCCAGCTGTGGTTCATGTTCAAGCTGCAGCTCGTCTGGTAAATAACTTCCGAGTAGCAACTGGCACTTGCACCTTCTCATCTCAGACTTTACGAGCGTGCAGCGTGCTGCCGCGATGTGCAACCATTATAGATGCGCTGCCTCGTGCCTCCTTTGAGGGGCTCACATGAAACAGCAACGGCAAGTTTCCTTCAGTATCTTTCGCGGTTCGCGTTAGAGTCAGAGCCTAGCGCAATATAATGGCATGATTATGCATGCGAGTCAGGGGTCAAGCCTTCTCAGAAGAAACACGACGTTCAGACTTGAGAGACGCAACATAGCAGAATGCATCATGATCATGACACATGTAAGACGATAGAAGTCCGAACCGACCTGGACGAGGACGTGTTAACTACCTGTCGTCATGGGGAACTGCGGGTTAACCTTGGTGGTTATATAAGGATTATATAAGGACTATACTACCCAAAAAAGGTTAAATGTTGCCTACTCTACTCTACTACTAGGGTTAGGGTCCGTGTACCCCATTTGCACAGAAAGGCGTGTTTGGCAGATAATTTGCAACAGTCCATACGCCAGCATAGGACACAAGAGACTGGTGCCCACTACGAGGCAAACCCATATGTGACAGTGCGGAGCATGATGGCCACGTGTCGAAAAACACACCTTCGATCACCCCTAGCAGTCAGGGCTTCTAGGTATCTATCACCGCGAAAAACACTGGAGTCTTTGCAGATACACGCCTGCACCAACTAAGAATGAAATCTCTTTGAACCCAGCATCACCAACTTTGCTACGAGTGTTGGACCAGGACGTGTGCATATCAAAACATCATTGTGTTCATTGGCAGCAACCTGCCTGCCCTGGCCGCAATAACGACGAGACGTGCAGATGCAAGCATCCTGCACGTCCACCGGTTGCTGTCTGTTTCTAAAAACAATTTATTCCCATTCTTGTTGTTACTATATCAACAACTAATAGCAGCTATTTTTGTTACTATCATTCTTTTTTGTTGCTATTATTGTATGAAGAAGGAGCTGTTGGTTGCTGTCGGTCTGAAGTTTCAAATGCGGTGGCAAGGCGGCCGGCTGCGCGCTTCGGGCAACGAGGCCAATTCCTGGGATGGTCGATGGGCCAGGGTTTTCGACGCTCATGCTCGCACAGGTTTAGGGGTTTAGGGTTTAGCCGCTTAGCCAGAGTTCAAGTGCACAAACCAGTCTATCCGTTAGTGTCTCAATGCCGACTGCAGCTACAGCCGAGGATGCTCGTAAAGCAAAATGTCTCAGGCCCTGGGTGACCATGGATTCCCAGCATGCATGCGCAACATGAAATTCGAATTGTTGCGCCGGGAACCTGCTAATTTGCAGGATCTGGCGTTTCCATGAAGGGAAAACATGCCCTGGATCTGTCGCTGCCCTTTGCTGAATAGTGCAGCCAAAGAAGTTGTCTGTTAAGGTTGCACCACGCTACAGTACCAAGATGTACCAAGCGAAGTTCCAGGCGGCACTAGCTTGCGCAAGTCAGGAGAAGCTGCACCATGCTGAAGTCGGAAAACTCACCGGGGATACTCTATTCTCTGCACCGGAGATGCTGTTTTCTCGGCATGATGAGGCATCTGGACATGTTTGCCCGAAGGGTGCAGCTTCAATTGGAAGATGTGGTATTTGTGCGTAACTGCAACCCTCGCTGGGTTGAACTGGTCAGCTACTTAGCACATCTGGGCAGTGTGCACGCATGAACATTTGCAGCTCTGTCATGTCAGATTTCACAGGTCAGAAGCGAGGAGGTGATCTCAGGGCTTCTCCATCGTCTCGAACAGCTCCCATTCGGCATCCCCGAGCTCAGAAGTTTCCTGCAAATGAGCTGCCCTTGTCGCGAGCAGGACGTTTGTCGTGCACATGCAGTGCTGCACCATGACATTGCCACAAACATGCAGGTGATTACCCTGGGGAGAGTGTGTGGAGACCATGATGCACGCAGTCGGCTATAAGCGCAAGCCCAAACATTTGGGGAACCGTGTAGAACGCTTGGAGGGCTTCTGTATGTAAACATCAGATTGAGCCATGGCACCGCTTTGAGAGTGGTGCTCTCGTCGGTGTCGCTCTCCTGCTCGGGTGAGGTGTTACGTACATGCACAGTGAAGCTTCTGCACAGCATCCGTTCTTCATGATGTTGGGGATGCAGCCCTACTGCAAAAAACTGCGTGCAGCTCTCGCGACGGAAGTCAACTTTGTGGCTGCGCATATATTCTGGAATACCAATCAACTGTTGAGATCGTCCGCTACATAACTTCAACGAGTCGATGACAAGGAACGCATGGTCGCCAGCTGTCACTCTGCCGTTTCCTCATGCTTGCTGGTGATGAGGAAATCCCGCATCTCTTCGTGGGAGATTTCAAAAAGTATCGCAGAGCGAGACCTTGACAGCACTCAGGCTGCTACTGTCGCGCAACGATGAGTGTCGTCTAGCGAGCAGAAATCAGTGCATGTTTTGTGGCCTGACACATCTCTGTATGCAGCCAGGTTGCGTATAGTAGCCTCGGAAATTACATACATGCGGTTCTACTTTGTCGCCACAACCATTATGGAAACTTCAGGCCAACCCTCGGAGGGAGCAACAAATGTCTCAGCCGCAGCTTTAGCAGTGCTATGCAGTGCTTCCTGCAGAATGTTGCAGAACGAGTTCGCCAGCACAAACTGGGGTGCTTGTTGTAGGGGTTGATCGCATCAGCAACTGCCAACACGTCCTTTACCCTTTCAAGACCAAAGCCTGTTTGGCGGTCATTTCTGCTTCTAGCTTGCAAGGCCATTTTCTCTGAACCGAACATGACCAACTGTTCCGGCACCCTTGAGTGCAGCACGATGCTGGTTGGTGGCAGTTTCCGTGGAGTGCGGTTCTGCTTGAACATGCATGGATTGGCTTTCATGGGCTCCAGTCGATACGAATCAGCAGCGTCGGAAGAAACTCCAAGTCTGATCGGGCAGCTGAAAGGGATAAGCGCCAGGTGGAAGAGAGGATGGCTGCGTGGGCCCAAAGGAGCCCACCTTTTGCACACTTCGGCAAAGAATCAGGGTTTAGGGTTTAGGATTTAGAGCATCGAACCTGTCACCTGCCCATCATGGAACACCCAGGCCCAGGACCCAGCTCTGTTTGTCAAAGCCAAACCAGGAAGTGACCGACTTGCATCTCGTCGCCAAATAAAACTCCCTTGCACACCTTTGCCACTGCTGCGCAGCGGCACTGCCATCGCGAGGCCGAACAGAAAGCACAAACAAATCGGGATGATGCCTCGTGTCTGGGAGGATGATTGAAGGATGCCGGGCAAACTAAGCAAACAGCAGAATCAGGCTGGATCGAGAGATGTACACAAGTGTATGTATGTATATAACGTTATAGAACTACATGATATACTATACTCATAACATCTTCCGCCACAACAGGTAAGATGTGAGAGTACTTTATCATGGATGTTTGCGGAAAGTACCGGAAACGGATGAGTCTCGCATCCGTGTGGCAATAGTGAGGAAGCTCTTTTACCTCCGTGTGGGAAGGCTTGCCGTGACATGGGGTTCTGTGTGGTCTTTGCTATATGTATTTCAGACCGTAAAAGGACGAGGTGCTGAAGTCGAAGGTGTTTCGCCTCCAGACCATCGGGCTCAGGTACAAGAGCACGACGCCTTCACGGATTTGATTAAATGCTGATCGACTGCTGCCCATTCGTCTCTTCGCTGGATGAGAGGGGTCGAGACATTGAGCCTTTGCGCGCGAAGCTTCTCCAACAGCCAAGGCGCATGAGAGGGTCTCCGTTCTCCATGCCACATGGTGATGCAGCTCCTCCGTTTCACGCGGTATCCCGAGGTTCTTCTACGCGCCCAGCTGACAAGCATTCCAACTCATGCTCGGTTCTCGATGCCTCTGGGCCTGCGAACATCAGCAGGTCAAGGCCTGGGAGTTCACATCTGCCAGCCCTCTGTTGGGCAAAGCGGTTTAAAAAAAAAGGATGTCTAGGGGGCTGTAAAGGGCTCTATAAGGATTACTATAAGGGATCTATAATTGGGTACTATACTGCTGGCTCAAGCCACCAGAGTTGTGAACAGCCGTCTGGAGCTCTCTGACTTCTCAAGCACTTTACTCTAACATACAGCACCGCTTCTATTGCTATGGCAGAGGCTCTCTCCAAGCTACTCCTCACCTGTTCCGAAACCGGTGCTGCAAGCCCAGCTGCTGATGCAGATGCTGCCCACAAACGCCGTGAACAGATTCGACCGCGACAAAGCCCACGCAGCCAAAACAGAAGCGATGGATATACCTGTCGCGTTCGTTTTAACTTGCACTTGATGCTCCGGGATCACTCGAGGCATCTTGATGCCGCAGTGATAACTGGAGACTCAAAGGACTTGCGTCTTCCTGCTCGACATTTCTATTCAAGCGTGGTCCACCCAGTCCTTGTGTAAGTGCCTATGGATGCAACGCTGCCTCGAAATGAAACCACAAAACCGGCTCAACTGCTGCTGCCAGCCCTGGCCTTGTCAGTGGTCATGCTCTGTGTATACATACATATATATATATATACACACATCGACTTGTATGTATATTATACACACATAATATATATATATATATATATATATACGCACAAAGGTAGTGAGTAGAACATAGATCAAGGTTTTAGGCAGAGCGGCAAGCTTGGTCCAGCCGCTCAAGCTTGGGAAGGTACTGGCCATTGAAAGCCTCGTGCAGGAGGCTCGTCGCAGCAATGCGCAAGCAGCTGGACACAGAGACTTCCTCTGTGGTGCGGCGCTGGCTGATTATTCATGCCCGGACACACAATAGAGGTGGCTGGCAGTGCTCGCCGGAACCATCAGGAACCAGCCTTCGAACTGCCCCCAATTCAGCTACATGAGATTTGCACAACCGCAAGGCACACTGCAGTCTTAGTGCGGGTTCGTGATGTGTAGGATGCCCTCCTCCACCAGGAGAGCTCCGGTCATCAAGCTGCTCGCTCTTTAACTCTCTCTGGATCGGTTCGGGAGTGAGGACGAAGCAAATACGGACAACTCGTCGCTGCTCGTTTGTGCAAGGAACTGCTTAAGACAGTGCAGCAGTCAAGAGGTAAGTTGCTGCAGGCCACCTTGCACACTTGCACAAACCCGTTTCATGGTGGGCCGACATAGACATTGAAAAGGTAAGCATGTTTCGCCGAGGGGCCAGACAACAAAGCGATTGCTGCATGTGATCTCCACCACGCCTTGGATGTCAAGTTCTTTGTGCTTCTGCGTCTCCAGCCCCTGCAGCTACAGTAGTCCAATATGAAATTTGTAAGTGGGTTTGGGGGGTAGATTGTGGATCATCGGTTTAAGTACAACATATCATCACCAGGAAACATAACAAGGCACATCTACATAGCAAGTCAGGCTTCTACAGTATCCGTGCACATCAAGGGACTTTTGGCCCCACCAGCCAGCACGCAGCAGCGCAGCTGAACATTGGAGGGAGCATGGTCGCTGCATTCAGGATTTCAACCTGCGGCTACGGCCGCCGATGCAGTCGGATCTAGTGCCCTCTGTCGACACTTTCAATCTCTGCACTGTGCGCCAGTCTACACGTGCTGTTCGGTACCTGGAAACCGCTCGGTCACGTTTTTGGGTGAGCTGGGGTGTGCGGCCCCGCTGGGCTGCAGCATAACCAATGCAGTGATATGTTGTCACGGAAAAACTGAGATGACATATGTGATGCGACACCATAAAAACAGGCGTCCGAGACCATTCGTTGCTCATCGGGCCTGGCATGCCTCGCCGCACTCCATCTGCGGGCAAGCTGCCTGTGCAACAAGCTATGGCATGGAGGTTGTGGTGATGATTTCGGCTCAAACGTGCTGAAAGTTTAAGGGTTTGGGTGGAACCTTGACGGGTTTCAGGAGTAGGTGTCATGCTAAACATGCACTGGCCGCTGTTTACCAGGGCCTCCATTCCGCTCGATTCCTGCATTCCGATTTCGTGCTGGGGTGGTCGGTTGAGGAGTGTGGGGTCCGCGCTCGGGGTGCTTGTGTGCATAGAAGGTCATAGAAGCAATTTCAGAGATGTAAGCTATGTCGACTAGGTACCCATGTATGTATGACCTACACACATGTACACATATGCGCACTACAACCCATAGTTGCCGTTCTGCGTTCTGAAAGCCAAAGAATATGCAGGTGCCCGGCACAGCTGTTCTTGTTGTTCACTACCATCACCATATCAATCCATCACGCCGATTTTCTTCCTATGGCATGTACATCGCAAATCATGGAAGAGCATGGGCCCAGCCCGCCTTCAGCACCAGGACGATCTAGGCCGCGAGTGGAACCTAGGGCCCTAGCCTGGCGTAGGCACGCCCTCCGAAAAAACGCTCACGACACACAGGCTTTGTTCATGCAGAAGCTCATGCTCACACATTCGAAGCCCCACCATAAAGACTCCATAAAGCCCTTATAGAGTCTTATAGGGACGCCTTAAACGGAACCCTTACCGTAAGCACATCTATCAAGAAATTCTACTGCAATCTACTGCAGCCTCTTTTTGCGTCTTCCTCTCGCACTCTGAAGCTACTCCAGAGAGTTCCAAGCTCCATTCGGAGACTCGGAGGTAATTAAGAAGTCGCTGAGCGAAGCCACTACTTTTAGAACAAACAATGCTTTCAAGGACCGCATTGACTTGTTCCCAAAGGCCTGAGACTTTGAGAGTACTTTAAGGTTGTCCTTCTTCTCTTGCACCCAGTCGAGCAACACGAACATGGCACTGCAAATGCCGAGGGTTCAGGCCCCGTCTCTGTGACCAAGTCTGTTGACCACAGTACCTTTCTAATCTGAGCATACTCTGCATCAGCATTGCTCATCAGTAGTATGACCCGCCAACCAATTTTTGCATTTGGACCCTGAGGATGACAGCCAGAAAGCATGCAACAGCCCACGCACGCTTCGGTTGTCCCTCCATTGTCCTAACGCGTGATTCTGCGTGCTGATGCTACCTCAAGGTAAAGTAGTACTTAATCATATCACCTGGCATTGCGGATTGTGACCGCGGCACTTGCTCTTATTAACCCAATCGCGCATCTTGCAGGAGCGGCGCCCACGCTTTGCTACAGAAACCCGGGTTTATGAATGCTCATTAAGGGTCTGATGTATAAATCACACTTAACAACATGACATACATACAACGCCCAACATAACGTACATATGGCTGTAGCTGTAAGTAGATACACAGATAATCGGAACGTATGTATAGATATGTGTACGTGCATATACAGCTACATACTTACATACACACATACATAAACATACATACATACGTACATACATACATATATATATATATATATATAACTTAAATATACTTACATACAACACAAACGTAAACAGCGTAAACATACAAATAAACGAAGCACACATATATACACATAATACATTCGATCTTCTGAGCCAGGCTAGCCTGCACCTGCATGTGCTGCGAAAGGCTTGCGACGGGGCATTGCACCCTCCCACGCATGCCGGCATAGGCACTACTTGGAGGTTCATGGGTAGTTATATAAGCGGGATTATAAGTCCCCTACTACTAGCCGTATGGGTTATAATTACGTATAACCCCATTTATAAGTAGCCATGAGCCTCCAAGTATCTTGGTGATCGCTTCCAGGGTCCCTTTCTGGGTAGCTTGTTGATGAGCCCTTCGGCATAAATCAGAGCTGGAAGGGGGCCACGAACACAAAAGCACAACTCCAAGAACTAAATGCCTTTTCAGGGTTCGCTTCCCCCTCCAAGCTACCGCAAAGCCAACCACCCAAGGGACCAAGTCCTGCCTCTCCATGTTCTGGAGGGCAAACTTTGTGGCACGAATAGGAACTATTAGACTATAGCTAAGGTTGCTTCAAGCACAGCTGCCTGCAAATTGGCGTCCTTCAACAGAAACCTCACTTACTTGGATATCTTTGGCTGAACTATGCTGAACTTGACGCGCTATGAGCAACCCAGTGCTGGCATTTGTCTTGGCTGTCCGCCGTGGAACGAGACCGATGGATGCCGATGGAATCCATCTTGCAACTGCCAACGCCGGCATACTGCTGATGGGTTCTTCCATGGCCAGAGATGCCAACCTCAAAGTGAAGAGATGCAACGTGCAACATGGTGGTGAAGAGCAGGCCAGTAAACCCTCATTCCAAGCACATGTTGAGTCAATCAGGTGCCTCACAGGACTTGCAGACGTCATCATGGCAAAGGATATTGTTTCTTAATAAAACGGACATGACCAAGTCACTGCCCAGGTTGCTCAAAGCTTCAATCGGCATCGTTCCGTAAAAATGCACGACCAGAGCCGCCTCGACCAGGCAGTCGGTGGAGTCTTCGCTACTTGGAGGCTGATGGGTACGTCTAAGTGGGGTTATAGGTAAGGTAACCATAATTCCAACATATTACAACTTATAACCCATACTTATAGTAGGGGACTTATAATCACACCTACAACTTACAACTACCGATGAACCTCAGGGTAGGTAATCTGAGATCCGAATATGAAGGCCCTCGAAGCAAGGGGGTTTGTGAATCTAGGTGTACATTTTCCCCACTCAGCCAACATGAAGAAACTGAGATTCGGTTTCTTTCGGTTTGCTAGCAAGAGGGCCTTATCAAAAAGTCAAAAGGGGTCTGCGCATGCCGGCATCGTTTTGCATGATTGATTGCCTCGCGCGGCCAGGACTTGCAGCATGTTCGAGCCGACTCTCCCTAGCGTATGGACATATATGGACCAGCCACCTTTGAAACCAAATGCAAGCTCCCTGTGCGGTACCTTCGGCAGCTCATCCCGGTCGAATTACTACCTGCACATCCCGCTCGGACATGTGTGTGCATGCAAGCAGGGAAGCGTGAGTTCCATGAATTCGCTGCAGTGACGGCTAGGGTTCAAAAAAATGCCGAGGCACCCCAGCGATTGCCGGATCGGTTGAAGTCTGTGGAATATTGCCTCGAGTGTACAATTTAATCAGTGCAGAGCACATGACACGGCCGAAGGGTGCGGGCTTATCAGTCATGGTTATGTCCTTCTCCAATACAAGCCAAGGGGCCACCGCGCCGGATCACAGGTTCCTGCTGGGAGGCTACAGACAGAAGTGAAAAACAGAGAGAATAGAACAGTTTACAGGTGTTTTGCAAGCCCGAACTAGCATCAAACATGTGAATTCTGCAGTTCTCCTGTGGGCTCGGCGACCACCCAGCCTTCGGCCTGAAAGCAAACTCAACGATTCCTTCGCTTTTGGCATTGTACCGATCGTGAACTGAGCAACCACCCAAGGACTGACGTTTCAGCAAATCGTAACACTGTCCATTCGGTACGGCAGTGTGCCTCCCAGCCATCTGGTGCTTGTATGGGAGGCTTTTCTGCGGAGGAGAACGTGCTCGGATCCGAATGGCTCCTCGAGTCTCGGGAAGAAAAACAAGCTGCATTTGGTTGATGTTTCGGGCTTCTATGACCCCATGTTGCGAAGCTCGCCAAGGCTCCACGGGTGGATGTTGAAGTCCAAATCTACCCACCGCCAGCGTTGCCGTAAAGCCTAGAAGGCAAGGCCCCTTGAAGTTTCGACCGAACTGTCGAAACAACCTCCGATTCTCGCACGCACCTCTTGCTCGGACACGCCAAGGCACATCGTGAGGCAGGAAAGGTGCGCGCCAGTCGCTCTGAAAAATTGTGGTCCTGGCATGTGATACGCCCACCGGGTGCAACATGTTGCAATGCTGAATGTGCCGACCATGCCCAAAACACCTCCTCTGTAGCTCCCACATCTGCATTTTGACGACCCGTGGGTTGGGCAAACAAGGCTGACGGACCTGGGTTGCGTGTGTCAACATGCTGCTATGCCGCCTGAGAACCATCCGGGCAAGTCTTGCCAGCACGTGGGGGCAGCTACTGGTTCCAGTAGCAGCTGAGTGGCAAAGCTGCACTCCCAACGCCGTTTCCGGCACAACCCAATGGTTGATTTGGCCTGACATAGATGCCGTCAAAGCGTCACAACCAAGCCGAATGACCGTCGGGAATGCTCGCGGAATCATGTCGAATGATGCTAAATGCCCACGACTCCCAAGCAATGACTAAAATGACTCTGTCCACCCTTACCAAATTACATGCAATCTCTTCTGCGATGCTGTGAAGACGCTCCCCATTTGGAGCCCGTCCGGTGGAAATCGGTCGAATACTGCCAACCGTCCTTCCGGCACACCGAGGTGACACACATAGAAACACCCAATCCGTGGCTTCGTCTTGCAGGCTAATCGGACGTGCGCAACGTTTCGATGTCGGTTCTTGTGATCTGCAGCTGTGCATGTGAACCGGCTAGCAACATCGTGCGATGCGTGCCTTGTCGGCAACACCATCTGGGCTGACGGTCCATTCGCCCTGCACCATGCAGCCGCGAATGGTCTGTACTTGTGTAGTGTTCAACTCTCCGGGAACAAATTTGCATACGTGTGCCCTGGGAGCAATGCCGCATTGACAAAGCAGCCTTCGTCACATGACTTCTTACATGAAAAGTTCCTCTGTCAATCCGTGCCTTTTCCCTCATGGCCGGTGGGGGTTCGAGCGGTGGAACCGCGGCTGCCTCGTTGGGTGGTGAACATGTCTCGGATGGTCGCCAGCCCCGGTGCAGCATGCGCACACCAAGAAGTCACGGACCCCCTAGCAAAGGATTGTGTTGAACAACTCCTGAGGTCCTGACAGCACTGACGCTGGTCTTCGCTAGCAGCCAGGGATGTTTGTGGAACCTAACAATCACGAACTGTCACCTGCCACTGCCCCGAACCGTCGGGAAAACACGTCCACATGCACGAGTGCCTTGAGTCGACCCATCGCGCTTGCCTGAGGTGTCACGGCAAAACACAAATCATCACAAGGAACTAGTAAAAGAACGTCCTTTCCTGGTGTGGCATCGTTTTCATTTTCAATTTTTCCTTCGGAAGGCTTCTTCTCATCGTAAATTCTTGGGAGGATTTGCCCGATCAGGGCGAACACGACCCCTTTGCCGGGATGCCCCCCAGACCTGAACGCGTCCTCGTTCTTTGCTGTGCGTCCGTGGGTGGAGGTACCATGCACGCCCGTGAGATGGAGTGGTCTCCGTTACGCACCTTCCATACCAACTCTCAAGGTGTCCGAATGCAGTCAGGGTGGCAAGGGGAATGGGGGTGCAACCTTTGTGGGAGGACCATACTGCATACTGAAGTGCAAGCTTATGCTAGTGTTGATACTACAGCTGTGTCCGGCCCTGTGTGCCCCTCTGATGGCGCCCGCACTTTAGTCGTTGACCTCGCATTTGGCTCAAGTACTTGGGTCTGCCTGGGTGTACGTTGTCAGCTGTTGATGCTTGTGCTGATGTATCAAGCGCCGCTGCCTCCGCGATGGGCCCTAGTGACACTTCACCCGTGTCTGCAAATGCCCTGGCGTTACCGTCTGCTTGTGAGCGGCCGCGCAGCAACACCTTCTTCTCTGCTGCGCCGCCCCTGCAAAATCATGATGCCACCAACTCTTTTGTATATTGCCCGATTTTGTTGCACGCGGCAGGTTTGTTGTCTCCAGAAGTTGTGTCAAGTTGGTCTTCTGCCATCCCTTGGTTCGACCGTTTGTGCTTGCACATTTCACAACAACTGCATGATGCCGGACATTTTGCCCAGGCATATGCTGAACTTTTGGAGCTTTCCAGAAACTGCAACCAGGATGAGGCGCGTGCAGTGTCCGAACTGCAACGGTTAGTAGGTCGGTGCCCTCCCGGGGCTAGGATTGGGGTTCGTTTGTTCCTCTCCCTTGTAGTTGACCAGTCGGGACATGTTCCGAACCTGCTGCAGGATCTGACGATGCAGGTCTTTGCAGGCTTGCCGCTTGCTTCTGAACTTGATCTAGCTGTCACCGTATTCCGTGACCAAGGCCGTTGGCCTGGAAACTTGCAGCATTTGCCTGTGGATCCTGCACCTGTAGATAGACCTGTTACGCATTATCCCGTAACGGATGTCGCACCGGTGAGTGCTTGCCCCGACACATTGGCAAATCATGGCCATGCAACCATGCCCACCTGGGCGCATGGACATACTCACGATGCTCATATCAATCAGCAATCTGACTCCACCGTTGCCCTTTTTCCGACGCATTTACATCAACACCCTTGTGAACGACGTAGAAGTGCTGCGTGCGGCACACGACGCCGATGCAGAATTTGCAATGCCAGTATACCGCATCGTTCACAGTACTTTCATTGCAGCCAGAACTGTCGGTTTACCGTGTGTACTGCGTGCTTTTGCCCATCCACGCGGTGTGCGGGTAGTAGTGATGCCCGTCAGCGTGCTACGAGTGAACCACCGCAACTGCAAACTATTGCCGATGCCGGCTCTTCGGTAGCCCCCGGTGTATGTGGTCAAACACATCTGACACGATACTCCGATTTGTCGCTTGAAGCATTCATTGATAAGGTTAACAGCCTTATAAGTGAAGGACGTTTCGCAGGAATAGGTGTACCGCAGGTCCGTGTAGAAGGGACAACAGCTTGGGGAGCTTGGCTTCGCATCAATCATCGTCATAGCGCCTTTGGCCGCCGCCCCCAATTGCTTTGTGGAGTGTTATTCCACGCTGCCAACCGCAGGCTGACATTCCATGGCGACGCCTCATGCGCTACCCAACATGTATTACTTTTGTTTGAATCTTGGACAACGGAACAGATCACAGAGCCTTGATGTTGTTCAACGTCGTATGCTGCGGTCCATAGTTGGTTGGCGACGTGTGGACGATGAGGAGTGGGTGGTCACGATGAGAAGGATGAACTCTCGGGTCTCTTACGCTTTATGCCAACACCCAATACCCAATTGGACAAAACAGCTGCGAAGTTGTAAATTCAAACTGGCTTCGCGACTTGCGGGTCAACTCGGATGGCACTTTTATACCACGAAATGGTTACCAACAGAAAAATGGTGGCATAATTTCAGTGAAAAGCCGAGCCGAAAGCCTGGTCGTCCCGCTACGCGCTGGGATGATGACTTAAACATGTTCGCTGCGACTCACCTTGACCGAAATAGTTGGATCGATTGTGCTGCATCGTTGCCCGAATGGCGCACGTTGCAAAGCTTGTTCATATCTTAGGCGTGCATATGCTTTTCCTGACATTCCCCATGTCCTTTTAGGACCGTAGTCTTGGACTCGAACGGGCGCAAAGCAAAGCAAAGCAATCCGCCATTTGTGCCCCCCCAGCCGGATCCTGCTCATGTGCCCCAGCACAGCCGCGCTACTGTGCCGCCGCCGCCGCCACCTCCACCGCAGGCGCCCGTGTCCCATAGTTCGGTTAGCAGGCTTCCACCCCCACCTGCCCCGCCGCCACGGTTATATCAGCAACCTAGACCGCCGTTGAGCCGTGTCAGGCATTTGCCGCTGTCTTCGTTTTCTCGGCGACCTGCGCCTCATCATCCAAATGAAATGTTAACAAACACGTGCTGCAGCTGTGGTAACCCAGCCCCGCATCAGTGTGTCAACAGTCGTTGCTGGGCTTGTTGTTCTAGTGATGATTGCCCGTGTCATGCGTCTGGTGCATTGGGTCTTCCGTCGGGAGCCCCTCCACCACCGCCACCGCCCCCCCCCCCGCCAGCCAGGCATGGTTCGCCTAGCTTCAGTCATGCTCCAGGTCAGGCAAACCGACCAATTCTGCATCGCCGTCATCGTCCACCTGTGGCGGATGGCTCGTGCACATCGGCTGCGAGGGGCATCAGACCCCCACTCCAGCGTTCCCGGCATTCGGGAAACGGGCCGGGTGCTCGGTGGTAGGCGGCTCCGATGCGCCCAAAACTTTCCGCCTTATGTCTGTGAACTGCAATAGGTTGTGGTCCCGCTCTGGTCGGTTGTGCGCCTCATTCCACGGTTTTGCACGATTCCTTGCATCTCGTAATTGTACGGTGGCACTTGTTCAAGAGACGAACACGCCGGCCGCGCCATCGCTTCATGATGACCAGGGTTTCACTTATGATGGTCCGGAAAACACTGCAGGTAGAGATGCTGCTTTTCTCGTTCACCATGATGCACGTGCTTCGTGCACACACATCCCAAATGTCACCCATCATGCTGATATTTGCTGGCGTCTATTCTCCCATGGCGAAACTTGTTCTGCCACGGCTGTTGCGTCCTTTTATGCCCCACATGTAGGCTGTCCGGAGGCCGAACGCCTTGCGTTCTGGCATCGTTTGTCAGACAGCATCGGAGAAGTGTTGCAAGCTTTACCAGGTGTTGATGTGATTTTAGCTGGCGATTCCAATTTGTGGGTTCCCGGTTTGGTACAAGCATGTCCGCAACGACCAGCCGATCGCAGCTGCCTCGTGAGCTTGCGTTTGATTTTGCAAACGTACGGCCTTGAAATTTGCAACCCCCTCGATTCACCTACCCACTCACGTGGGGCTGCCTTGGATCTTGTCATCGCATCCCCAGGTGTGGTTGACACGGTCTCTGTACATCATCGGGCTTGCAACTGCTCTTCTGCGGGTTTATGCTGTCCTGTGCTTTGAAGTGACCATTTTGCTGTAGAAATTGGCGTTCATAAGCGCTTGGTCCAGACAGTGCTCACGCCCTCAAGTCCAACAGTGCATGTCCGTGACTGGGCCAAGCTGATTCAGGCTCAGATGCAGGATGTGCAACGTTGGTCCTCGCATGTACAAGCGTATATATCAGACCTGGCACGCCAAGCCCCCACCGATAAACGATTGGTTTTGGATAGCTTGTACGACGATTTCCTAGAAATATTATGGAATGCGGATCCGAAGTTGTACCGATGTTCACGTGAGGGCACTCGGAAACAACCGACTTGGTGGAATGATGCGTGCTTTGATGCGATGCTTGCTAGGAATGCGGCATGGCGCCGTCGTAACTGTAGCGCTGAGTCACTTTATGCATTTCGTGCTGCGCGCAACCGTTTCCACCGCACTGTTCGTGCCGCTAAAATCCAGTATTGGTCATCTTGGCTCCATCGCCTTGAGCATACACAATCGACTTGTCCTCGTGCGGCTGCCCGCATGGTCCGGCGCCGTTTCCGCTGCAATGCTTGCCGCATTGCACCCCGGTTGTCACCTGACAGAATGACGCACCCGTCGCAACAATCTGAGTGCATGCACCAATGGCGTGAGCATTTTCGTGATGCTGCATCTTTCCATTCTGATGCTTTTGATGTTCGGCATTTTCGTCGTGTCAACAGGCGGGTCGATCGTGTTCGTGCAACACGGGATGCACAACACCCTCTCGACCCTTCCGTTGGTGACAGTAGCTCTGTCCCCTTCACTTTGGCTGAACTCAGGTCTGCATTGCAACACTGCACGTTGGACAAAGCACCGGGTTGCGATAAGATCCCATACAGAGCACTATGTGTCGACATTTCGTGGTGGCAGCATGCCGTTCTCAATTTTCTTGAGCTATGCAGGTTATATGGTTGCGTGCCGTCCATTTGGAAGCACGGGGTGGTAGTCCCAATGGCCAAAAACACCAGTGCCACTGAGCGTAATGATTATCGGCCCATAACTTTGACTTCATGCTTTGCAAAAACGTTGGAAAGGATGGTTTTAGACCGCATTAGACCGGCAGTAGACTTGCAGCTCGACCCCTCCCAAGCAGGATTTCGCTGGGGATCTGATGTCCAATTCTATACGTTGTGGGAGACGCTTCGATTGCGCAAAAACTCCCGAACTTTCTGCGCCTTTCTTGACCTCCGGAAAGCTTTCGATGTAGCTTGGCGCGATGCTGCACTTCTAAAATTGTATAGGGCGGGCATCCCCATTCACTTATGGCATTTGGTGGATGATTTGGTGAGTGACCGAACCGCTGCAGTACGTATCGGATCATGTGCTTCG